TTATTCCGGAATTAAAATACGGGAGTGTTCCGAGTACATTTTCGCGCGCATTTTGCACGTGCTAGGTGCCGCGTATATTGCCCGTGGATCCTAAGCCCTACGGTAGCATATATGTATTGTAGGAGAAATTTAGGGATTAACAGAGTACATTTCACTAACTTAGGTATTGTCAAAGTCAGTTGCGTGGTTTAGGGTAGAGTATTTTATTAAAAGGTGAAGAAAAAAATCTTTTTTTCTAAAAATATCCTGTGATTTTTATCTGAGTATCTAACTTTTATCTGAATATTTGTATGAATCTGCCTGTAACCAGATTCTCCCAAGTATGATTAACTTTAGTTCAACTTATATTTTCGATAAAAATGTAACATATCAGCATTAACAACAATAAACAGTCGGTACATGTACACGAGACTAAATACCTATAGTTTTACTTAGCATCGGATATAAAACAGTAGAGCATTTGCTTCCACCTCTTACAAGGTCATTCATTATCTTCTGAATAACAGAGCACACTCTCCAGCGAAAACGCTTTGTTATTTCCTATTATCATTATCTATGACGATTTTCATTCGTCAATGAGATCATGTGACTGAATTTCATACGCTTACCAGTGTCGCGCATTCACACTGTTGTAAAATAATTACCAAATGAAGTGCGTCAAAAATTCTGGTTTAAATCACCAAATTTGATTTTTATGGCTTAAACGAAACTTAAAATTGATAAATAAAATGTATGTATACATGTATGTCACTTGTTCAAATTACGAATTTTGGTGATTCAATTCCTCTATTTGAACATTTTTGTGTATGCATATAATAATATATATTGTAGGATTAGTATACAGGGTGTCTAAGCTAACGTCACAACACGCCGTGCACGTGATTTTCAAGTCACTGAACATGAATCGCGCTTTGTGACATTCATGATATACGTGTTACAGGAGAAAATATAGAGTTGTATACCGTGGTGTATAAATATACATATTTTTATAAAGATTGATGTAGATAAAGGTTACTTTAAAACATCAGCGGTTCAGATCACTTAAATTCGATCTTTGAAACTATTATATTTGGCATGCGAGTGTATTTCGTTTAAGATTGCATAGCGGGAAATACTTGTCCTTTGAGATATATACAGAGTTACTGTTCTTGGCGAGTGAACAGTTTCTTGTGCATGAAAGCCCGAGTTTGTTGAGTTTTCCGTCCGTTGTTCGCTATCGATGAAAAATTAACTCTATTACTTTCGGCGAATTATAGTTGAAGTATTCATGAAAATGTACAATTAATTTCTAATTTAAAAGCAAACGGAATTTCACCGTCAAAAAAGGTTATCGTGAAGTCAGGAGATAGTCCGTGACTATACCGAGAGTACGCCTTGCAGGGGTTCCCCTGGTTTCGCGTTTATAACTTTTATTTTTCTCAGCCAATCGCATATTACTTTTAAAATGACGTAGGACAATTATCCATCATCTTATTATACCAACCAATGAAATCGCTTGAATAAAGCAAATGTCGTCATTTCGATCTAATTTAGAGTCGGGAAATTCCAACAAAGGGAATTTCTTACCGCGGTATTTGTCACGACAAATCCAGAGCTTCGCATGCTAAAATATGAGCGCATATGAGTTTTGAATAATTTCTTGATATAAAAACAGTACACTTACTTCACAATAAACGAGAAAAAACTTGCGAATAGCATGAAACTGTGTCTCCGTCCGGGCGACGAATTCGGCTTGAGCGGGCTCCTATCATGCTTAGCGTTGTAGTCAAGAACGACAACTCAATACCGCTTCAAGTTCGCGGGAGTGTAAATATTTCACGATATGAATATGTCATTTATAACCCAGAGTGATGTATTAATCTGCTATGATCCGTCGATCTCTAGTTAATAATAATTTGGTTGTACTAGTGTATTTATAATATAATGTATACTTCAAATAGGTGAATCATGAGTGTTGGCTCAAGATTTCATTCCTTCACTCAAGCAACCTCGTGCAACACGTAAACGTGTGTAACTAGAGGTCGTAAAACAGAAGATGTACAGCATTAATAATTGAAGATACACGATCCAATGGTACATTTGTGTAATACTAATTATATAGAATTTTATTCAATCTTCATGTCCCTAGGGAAAGTTTTTGATTTGGGGTTCTAAATAGGTTCGGTCATTTTTATAAAGTTAAACCAGATGAGGTTCAAAATTGAACTGATGTTGATCAAAATAACACAATGATATCAGGAACGCCCTATCATACGTCCCACATGATATCTAACAATATCAAAACAACACATAATATCATGGACGCCCGATCATACGTCACAGATGATATGTAACAATATCAAAATAACACATAATAGCACGGACGCCCTACCACACGTCACAGATGAGATATCATAATATCAAAATAACACATAATAGCACGGACGCCCTACCACACGTCACAGATGAGGTATCACAATATCCTTTGGAGAGGGAACATATAATAATTCTATACTGTGTGTTTTTTTACTTCAAAATGTTCTGCATCTTTTTTGGAAGTCAAATTCAGTAGTACCCATACTTTGTGTCACACAGGTACCTCCCTTTACACTTCACGTAAAAGGCCAAAGACCATATAGTTCCCCTATGATAAATGATTACTCAGAAATGCAACTGGTCAGAATCCATCATCCTGGAAGCCTTGAATCCTTGACAGTTTACTGATAACAATTACAATGCATACAAGTCTTGGCTCAACATTATTTCAGGAACCAGTCTTTATTTCATTAGAATACAAAACAAGAAAAAAATCAGTCACTCTATCATTTCATTTATTATGTCACATGTAGCAGAAAGCATCAGGCTTTATAGAATGTGTACAAAAACAAGAGGCCTATAAGGTCTGTAACGCTCTGGGTCTGAAAGCCCACCAATGACATACATACCTATAGGTTGGATATTTGAAATATTTCCAAATTAAAGCTCTGTCACTTAAGCTCTTTGACGGGGCAAAAACAATGGGTAAATTCTTATATCATTACTGTCTTTATCTCTTGATGTCCGTTATTGCTATATATTGTTAAATATAAACCTCGCAAGTTCCCCCTAGATATTTTTTTAAAAAACATCATTATATGTATCCCTCATAGATAAATGATAAATCTTCAAATTAAATATCACAGTTGGCATTCACATTTCTCGTGAATGCAAATTAAAGGTAATTAATTGTTCCTGTATATAATTTCCAGTATTCGGTTTAATTTGTTGTAAGATGATACAACTTCTTTGTTAATTTACATGTCGGTGTGGCGAGGAAATGAAACTCGGAACAAAGTTCATAATTATTTCCGTTTTAATGCACTGACGCGAAATCCTACAGAGTCAAAGAAAACAGTAGCACATGCGCATACGAAAAATACACAACATCACTACTGCACCATTGTCAACCTACCCAGTTTCTATCTGATAACAGTAAATACATACACCAGCTTGCGCCGACGCCCAGCAACAGAACGATGATTTGGAGAGACCGAAAACCAGAAGAGGCGTGACATAAGCAGGTGTGGAAACGCATTAAGCATGCAATGCAAGTGCATTTGATAAAATGCTGATTCTACACTCGGAAATACGGGTTCCATGGCGCTCCGTTGTAATAAAGGACAACTCTGAAGTACATTATTCATGGCGCCTTGAAATACCTGACCAACGGATAGCTCAAGAAGTGCATGGATATTGGCGCTTTTGAACTATACGAGCTATGGCGATCACATCTTCGATACTCCAGGGATCACGCTCACGGTCACTCTCTGCACCCCTGAAACATGTCATGGCAAAACTGAAGGTTCCATGTGCGACACCTTGTGGATGAGACACAAAGAGACTTGTTCGATCCTTTTGATGTACATCAGACGAAACTTGAGGTCGCATAACGGTATATTATAATGACTTTCAAAATGAGCGTAACAGCCTGTGATTGGTGAGGTTTTTTTTAAATGTTTTTTCCCCTGAAACCAATCAAGTATCTTCGCTTGTGCCTTAAAATTTTCCATGACATGTTCCATAGGTGCAGAGAGTGAAACTGGTCGTAACTCCTGGAATATCGAGGATGATGTACCTCGTAATAATACCTAAGTTGTGTTTTATCATGTTAAAAAGTAAGATAAAATTATCACTGTTAATGTCATAACCATATTTGGTATTTTCCTAACCTCCATGCGACAGCTGGATGCTAACTTCCACAAATGAATCTGATGAGGTTCATCATATGCAAATAAATACCAAGATACGGATTTTTTTATTTGCTACACGAAAGACCGTTACGGCCCAATACCTGCAAAAATACGTTCTCCAACCGCGTAACCAATTCGTGGAACAATTTGCCGGATAGTGTTATTATATATATCATCCGGATATGTTCACGGTCTAGTGTAACCGTCAAGCTGTTTGGGGATTGCCCCGCCACTTGACCGCTACCGCCCAATACTAAGATAACAATGTATAAAAGAAAGTATAAATGAAGCTGGACTTTTTGTACTTGAAACAAGATGAACAGAGGCCAAGTGAGTAAATTAGGAATACAAATATAAGACCCAAATTATTGTTATATTACCATATTAACATCCCTGTTTTTACCTTTTAATCCTTTTAAACTTGTGTTAGAATATATAGTGTCAAGGTGTCTGGAGATCGTTCTGCCACATGTCCTTTAATACCAACTACGTGTTAGTTAATGTTAATCAAGACCTAAAATTCATTTTCCTAAATTATATGACTTAATATTTTTATAATTTGTACAATTTTTTCTACAATTGTAATAACCGTGCGCGTGCGATCGGGACTCATAGTCGGTGTAAGGGGGAATTAAGTTTCCTATCGAGTACATCGCAACAAGAAGATTGAAGATGTCTCTCTACAGGCGAAGCTTTCAACCGAGGCAACATACCTGCGAAACTGTCTAGATTTAAGCAGATATCAGATCGCCGGAAACAATTTTGCACCCTGGGAAGACAAACACACGTGTGTACACGCATACATCAGCAACTGAGAGGACAGTAGTCATCGTTCTGTCGTGTATAGCTGTATTCTGTCTCACATCGACTTAATCTTCCTTCTGGTAAGATATTTGTATCATACGAAGCCAAAATGTATCTTGCAACTGTTTACGAGACGATGTCATTACTCTGGTATTGTAAAACAGTTTCCTTAGATGGACTGACCTAGATTTTCAGTCGAAGAGGACGACACTTTACTTGCATTGACAGGTGCCAAGTGCAGATGTACTAACAGTAGCTAGTCCTAAGGTCATGCGACGAGTTTTTCAGCGGATGAACGGAAACTTTTATAATTAAAGACTTATCGCAATGGAACAATATCGACGAGATACGAAACATCTAAACGCCCTCGCTCTGTCACATAATTTCAGTCGGTTTAGATTTGTGACCCATAGGCATAGACAGTATGATCACGGACTTGCATCTGTATCTAAGTCCGTATTTTAACTAACATTTACAGCTGATTGTTATTGCATCCCAAATTTCACATCGATTTACTGTTAAAGGAATACGAAGGGATTTCCCTTAATAGGTGGAAGAATTTCCACATATGCTTACTTCTTAGATAATGTTGGAAAAAACCACACATATTAAAAGGAAATAGCATGTATTTGACTATAATACAGTCTGGTAAGTGTCATGTCCTTCTGAATTTAAGTCAAAAGCATCTAATGAAATACAGCTATTCTTTCATTTGATTTAGTATTGAAATATTTTTCAATTAAATTTTAATTACCAAAGTTTGAAATTTTAAGTAGTCCTGATTCATACAATAAAAATATGATTTTAATATAGATGGCCTGGCTAGCATTTTGTAGTGAGTTTAAGGCGTAAGAACTATGAAGATTCACTTTTAAGGTCCAGAAAGTTAAATTTGTTCTTGTTGAAATCAGATTTGTTAGATGGATATTTGAGAAGTGGTACTGTTTGAAGTTTATTTTTGAACAAATGTCCTTGACTTGTATTCTAGATCATAGTCTTCAAATTAGTTGAAAATACCTCTTTGAAAATTGAAATAAGAAAGTCTGAAACTTTTTAAAAAGACAAAAATATTTGACATGAAATTTGTCAAAGATCATAACTATAGTAAAGAACCTACAACTGTCAGGTTCAAAAGGATGCCTCCACTTTGATCAATTTTGCTTATTTTTTTTAACAGGTCAAAATCAAACTGATATGGAAAAAAAAAACCTTTTGAGAACCTTTTTAATAAATTCATTTTTCGTTAAAATTTGAAGGTAAAAAAAGTAACACAAATAAAAGACCCAGGTAAGAGATATAGAAAAAACAAGGTCAGTGTCTCGAAAATTTTTGCTGTATTTTGACGAGGGTGAAGAAAGCTACTTTTGTCTTTCTGCCATAGCCAAAATGCAATTTATTTTTCTAGACATCGACCATGTATTTAGTTTTTCTGCAACATTGATTGAAAATTCAGACTATGGAAACGTCAACAGTTTACAATTATTCTTTTCCCACTTTTCGTTACAGATCCAGTCATAAGATGGAGTTGATATACTTTCCATTGAAAGGTAGGTTACCTCTTTATAACAACAAACTTTCATCTCATTTGAAGAATTTTATACATAATCCTTCTTCCAACTTTAATTTGTGGAATTTAGCTAAAACTTGCCTGTAGTGATTCTGACAAAACAATGAAAATTTCAGATGAAGGATGTCGTTAAAGTGTTGTTATTTTTCATCTATACTTAATGTTTGACATGTCAGCTTTGACATAAAGTTTACTGCATGATTGCACGTTTGTCATTTCTAGAACAATATCTATTTTAAACTTCTGCTTAAGTTCCATTAATGGGATTGAGCTGAAATTTGCCTGGATACTTATCAGGTTTTCCTGAGTGATGAAGTGTTATGTTTTTGGTTGATCTGAAATCCAATATTGCTGCCTTCTTGAAAAATGTATTTTAAACTTCTGTAGATCAACAGGTGTCATTGGTTGGAATTTTGGGACACAGAAATAATTTTCTTGTGGTCTTAGTGATCAAAAATTTGAACTGTTTTACTTATTCAATATTGCAGTACTGAAACAAAGGAAAGTAATTGAGAGAGATCAGAATTGAGTGCTTATATATTTTCAGTCAGATAAACATTGTTATTTTTTTGTTTTTGTTTTTTTTTTCCAAATTAAAATGATTGACATTTCACCGTGTATTTAACCTCTCAGGCCGAGGTGAGGTGATCAGACTGCTTATGATCGAAAATGATGTCAGCTACACTGAAACAAATTGTGGAAATAATTGGATGACTGAATGGAAGCCAAAAATGGTAAGTCAAATATATGACTATCACATATTTCTGCATGCTTACTAAATTTTTGAAAGTTCCACTGGGGAGAATGTACATTATCTACATTTCAACTCTTGATTGAAAAAAAAGACTGCTTTAAAATAATCAAAATAGAACTCATTTTGACAAAAAATACCTTGAATCTACATCTTTTAATTTTAATTTTTCTAGTGTTCTTAATTCATTCCTAAAAATTAGGAATAAGAGAAAAGTTTTTATAATGATTTTTATAAAACTTGATGTGAGGTTTGAGAAGGAAAGCCATACCCTAGTGTTCTTTACCATATTCAGTGCAAAATCCTTGCTTGAAAATAGGCCCATCCATTTCTATTGCTATGCAGTAGAATTACCAATAGATACCATATTAAGCCCATCGTCTGACTTAGTGGCGGATGGACTGGTAATTTGTTGGAAATTCAGCCATATTGTCAAATAGATACAGTAAACTCAATTTTAACAAATACTACTGTGAGATATAGATATTCTACCCTAGGTTACTGTGGGGTATGGATATTGTACCCTAGGCTACTGTGGGGTATGTATATTCTACCCTAGGCTACTGTGGGGTATGTATTATCCTAGGCTACTGTGGGGTATGGATATACCCTGGGCTACTGTGGATAGGGATACTACCCTAGGCTACTGTGGGGTATGGATATTCTACCATAGGCTATTGTTGGGTATGTATATTCTACCCTAGGCTACTGTGGGGTATGTATATTCTATCCTAGGCTACTGTGGGGTATGGATATTCTACCCTGGGCTACTGTGGGGTAGGGATATTCTACCCTAGGCTACTGTGGGGTATGGATATTCTACCATAGGCTATCTACCCTAGGCTACTGTGGGGTATGGATATTCTACCCTAGGCTACTGTGGGGTATGGATATTCTACCCTAGGCTATTGTTGGGTATGGATATTCTACCCTAGGCTACTGTGGGGTATGTATATTCTACCTGAGGCTACTGTGGGGTATGTATATTCTACCCTAGGCTACTGTGGGGTATGGATATTCTACCCTAGGCTACTGTGGGGTAGGGATATTCTACCCTAGGCTACTGTGGGGTAGGGATATTTTACCAATGGGTTTTGAATTTGAGTTCAGAATCCGCAGTTTTGATACACATTCCATTATGTGGGATGTAGATTTTTTACAGTTGTATAATGAATGTTGGTTCAGAATTTCAGTTCTGACACAAATTCTTTAGTGTTTGATCATGGATATACTGTATCCTCAGGTAGAATACTGATATCCTACATACCTTCATGTCATTGAATCTATTAATCATACCTGGCTGAAAGACCAAGAATATCCTGAAGTAATGTAGGTTAGTAATGTATAAAACAAGGCTGATCCAATGGGCTTAGGGACCAAGAATCATTTGGCTGATCTGCTCTTTTAGAGTTGATGTTATTTCTGAGACTCGTAGCACATTTTGTTGGCAACACTTTTCCATGAGACAAAATGTCTCACATCTACTAAATAAGTAGTGTTGGACCACATGGTCGTGCAATTTCATCCTTGTTTTTGTTATGTAAGTAACATAATTTTCTGATGATTTTTGTATTTGCATCAGGCCTTTGGACAAGCACCTTGCCTGAAAGATGGCAGTTTGACACTTGTTCAATCAAACGCAATCATCAGACACCTTGCCAGAAAATTTAGTAAGTTTTGCTATTATTATATTATTATACCATATATTGTCCTATGAGGATGAACTGGAACTTTGGGGGAGAGAGGGGAGGATGGGGGTGGGGGGGGTAATGGATATTGAATTTGGCTTGTCTGTGCATCACGCGTCCGTGTTTGTGTCAGTGTGATAACCGCCATTCCTCAGATAATAAATACCTACTCTTCATGGATGGAAGTGTCTTATGGTGCTTTATAAAAATTGTAAATATTGTGACCCCAGGGTATCACACTTTTCCCAGTGGAGAGGGTAAAATTTATTACATTTTATGTAGGAAATTTACATTTTTGAGCATAATTTGTTCTTTTTTAAAATAGTTCAAACATAGAAAGAATTTCTTTTATTATTTTTATGAGCTGACAATTTGATGAGATACACATATTGACCTTGACTAATCCCCAGGGGCTGATGAACGGGGCCAGAAATGGGTCAAAATTGACTGAAATTTCAAAGATGTTCTACAGTTTTAATCTTGAGTATAATTTATTTTTAATTCAAACTTGGTTAGAAGCCTAAGCATAGGACAGCACAGTTAATGTATACACAATTTACATTTGTGTACAATAAAGTTATATTACTTTCCCCTTTTTGATGTGAGACATGCTTTGGAATATGGGGTCAATTTTGCTTGATCAATAGGTTCTGGCCCATTTGAATCAGAGGGGTGGGGCCAAATACTGGACATAGAGCAAATTCTTAAAAAATTTTATCATGTTGAGAACTAAGTTATTTCAAACAGCTGCATCTAACCCCATTTTGTCATTTGCCCCTAAATTCATATGATAAATTCACAAGATATAAATCTTTTGAAGTCCATCACATGAGGTTCAAAGAAAGAAATGAAATAACTCCTCCCCAATCTCCAGAACTTTTTATCACAAATCTTACAATCACCATAATATCTGGCTAACTTAAAAGGTATCTATTATGCCTGAATTAATTGTTTTTAAGTTTCATTGAAGAGTTAGTGTTGACTTGCTAACGAAAGCCTACTACAGACATATTTTGTTTTCAGATTTGTATGGAGCTAATGAGGCGGAGGCTTGTCAGGCAGATATTGTAAGTGACAGCGTAGAGGACCTCCGCGGTGCTTATGTGAATCTTATCTACAAGAATTATGTAAGTATTTCACAGCTACCAAATTAATTGTCAAAACATTTTGATTTTAATAAAGTTAAAGCATATCAAAACCATGTAAATTTTTTTTTCAACTCTCTCTCTGCATACAGTATACATTCTAAAATTGTCCTTGTGTCCAATTTGTTTTGAAAAAAACAATTGTTAATTTTCCCCATCTTTGAAAACCCCATTCAGAATCCTGAAGTAGGAGTGTTAACACCAAACCATGACTTGAAGAGGAATGGATTTGAATCCATCAGTTAGATACCTTTGGGTTTTTATTTGGACTTTGTTATGACTTAATACTTTGTTTGCATTGTCAGGAGGCTGGTAAGGAGGATTATATTAAGGCACTTCCTGAAAAACTACGTCTTTTTGAGGTGAGGCATTCCATCCATTAACATTTCAATCCAAATTGTCTATTGACTTGATTAACATGTTATTTCTGCAAAAATAACGCCTTCTTTAGAATCAACATTACTATGGGGAGTCTTGTTTTAACAAGAAACAAGACAAAAGTGACTTAGTAATTAACACCTCGGTTACTCTGTATTCCAAAAGAATTGATCAACAAGGTTTGAAATGACATGTTGTTACAGATGTATGATAATATTTTCTTTGCACTCTTTTGAAAAAGTTAAAATATATTTCGTTTACCCATTATGTACAGGTGTAATTATTATTCACAGTTTCCATTGTTATTTATTGTAAGGTTATTAAGCCACTAGGTGAAGGTGTATATTGGGAAGATAGTTTATTCATTTCTAAAAGAAGTGGGTCGATGTGGCTTATACATTGTGTTAAATATGGTTTACCGAGGTATATGTCACTCAGCTGACAGGACATGCTCCTTAGGGTTATCAGGCCCGTTTTGTTTTGTTCATGTTGGTGTGCTTGGCGAGAATGTGATAAATTTGTTTTGCTTAAGATTACTTTGTTAACTTTTTACTTGCTCAAAATATTTTCAAGTGCTGATTGAAGGAAAATGCATTGCTCAAACTTACTGGTTTTACAAAAATGAACATTTCCCTCGGGGCCTGGTATCATAGACAAATCTTTAAAATCATGAAATCCACAGGTACTTCAATCCCTTGAATTTTCATCTGTGCATTATTTTGTGGACAAATTCATGGATTACAAGTAACTATAAATCAACAGAAATAAATCCCCCGCGACCAAAGTATCCCCCTCCCCCAACCCCCACCCCTTCTGAAAATTCATGATGATACAGTATTCTGTTTGACAATCATGCAGTAAATTTGTACAATGTTGGTGTATTTCAGAATTTCATCAAAGACAAGTCACCCTACATCCTTGGAGAAAACGTAAGTACTTTTAAAGTTGTACTCATCTGATTTACGATCAAATGAAATATCTTGGACTTGTTTCAATGTACTTGTAGCTGTACTTCTAAGCTGAAAAAAGATTCTTTATAGGAGGTTTTCCAGTAATGTTTGCTTATGGACTACATTTTTATTCTAATTTCAAAATTCTTCTTTTCAACACCCAGATGAGGTAGAACAAACACTCATAATGGATGAAAGGGTCTTGAGGTGTTTTGCCAAAATTGTGAACTCCATTATTCCGTTGTCAGACATTTCACCCTTGAGAGGGGGTAATGTTAACAATAATTTATATTTTAGGAAATTATAAATTTTAACCTAGATTTGTTTATTTTCTACTGCAAATATTAGAATCATTAGTATGACAGGATGATGGTATGCATATATTGTCCATGGTTGTCCCTTGGGGACTTTAGATATTTGTTTTACTCTCATCAATGTTGCAATTTCTTTTTCATGATGCTCGAGAGCTACTTACCTTAAACAATGTTTTACCTCAGGTGACTGTCAAGGCTGCTAAGCCTATTGATGACACACTTTTTATATACTGTTATTCATTTATGTAATTTTGACTGTTCTAATTTGTTTGAAATAAAACAGGACGTGATTCCACAAAAGATAGAAAACAGATTACCATTTATCTCGATATCAATGTATCTCTTATATAAAAAAAAATCAAAAAATAAATGAAGCTCTTAAGAATTTTTCAAAACTTTCATTAAAAGTGTATTTGACAGTATATTTCTGTTTTATATATAATATTGCAGATTTTTTTTAATCAATTTTGGGTTTATTTTCCAGATATGTTTTGCGGATTACTGCCTTTTTGATCTCCTGGACATTCATTTGGTTCTGGCACCATCATGTCTCGATAGTTTTCCAGCTCTGAAGGCATTGTATGCTGCCGTAGGGTCACGTCCCAAGGTCAAAGCTCACAGGGAATCAGACGCATTCAAAGCAATGCCAATTAATGGCAATGGCAAACAGTAGACATTCCCTGCTTAACAACGAAAAAGGAGTCATAGACTCAGCTGCCAACAATGGTTGTAGTTTTAGCTGCCAACAATGGTTGTAGTTTTGGCTGTCAACAATGGTTGTAGTTTTAGCTGTCAACAATGGTTGTAGTTTTAGCTGCCAACAATGGTTGTAATTTAGCTGTCAACAATGGTTGTAGTTTTAGCTGCCAACAATGGTTGTAGTTTTAGCTGCAAACAATGGTTGTAGTTTTAGCTGCCAACAATGGTTGTAATTTTAGCTGCCAATAGTGATTGTAGTTTTAGCTGCCAACAATGGTTGTAGTTTTAGCTGCCAATAATGGTTGTAGTTTTAGCTGCCAACAATGGTTGTAGTTTTAGCTGCCAACAATGGTTGTAGTTTTAGCTGCCAATAGTGGTTGTAGTTTTAGCTGCCAACAAAGGTTGTAGTTTTAGCTGCCAACAATGGTTGTAGTTTTAGCTGCCAATAATGGTTGTAGTTTTAGCTGCCAACAGTGGTTGTAGTTTTAGCTGCCAACAATGGTTGTAGTTTTAGCTGCAAACAATGGTTGAAGTTTTAGCTGCCAACAATGGTTGTAGTTTTGTTCAAAGTTGTATAATCAGATTAATACATATGTACTGCCTGTATGTCCTAATAAAGTGTTTCCTTGGTATATATAACTAATGGTAGATAATATTTTTTCAATCAGAAATTTTTGTATACTTTTTCTGGATGCCAAGCAAGTGCTTTTAATGTTTTTCAAAACACCACAACTTAAAGGACATTGGACACGATTTTTCATAATCCTGTATTTTCTTTTTATCTGATGCAAAGGCTCTGCTCAAGAAGGAACAGAGGCTTTTTGAAAGTTAAACTTCACATTCTGTAAAGCAATTGACAATCTTACCTCTAAAAAAGGGCAGAGGTGATGCAATTAAGGTATAACTTTGGATTGTCGGGTGGCACAGTGGTGAGACACTTGCCTTTACCAGGGGCAGACGGGGTTCAGTTCCCCAGTTGGATGTGACAAGGTATTTGGTCACCTCCCAATCACGTAGATTTTCCCCAAAATACTCTGCTGCACCACAAAAATACTCCACATGTTTCATTTCAGGCTAAAAAGTGATGGCTTGTTTCACTTTTGTTGTAAAATACATAAATATTTTAGTGCTTAACACTATTTTAGTGGTTCTCATATTTGAGTTTGATTACCTTGGCACACTAATTTGCAGTTTGGGTTTGTTTCTATTATAACAATTTTTGTTGATATGCACTTTACTATTTTGCTATTTTGTCGAAAAGGACAATGTGGAAAAATTACTTGTGTCTTATTAAGTATGATTAAACTATATAAATAGTTATTACTTTTTCAGCAATGTCAATGGGTTGTATTTAGATAAGTTCTGCAGTCAAACATAACACTGTAATAATCGAGATACCAAAATTGAATAGTGCTTATTTGGTTGTGCCAGTACCTAGCCAGTACTTTTGTTGATAATATGGTCAATGTCTTCTTTTTGTCAATAATTTGGTCAGTAACTAAGATGTTCATTACAAAGTTACTTTTTGTCTTGTTTCTTTTTATAACCAGACTCCCCATAGTCCCATAGACTCTAAACTGACGATATTACTGTTTCTTATAATACACATATTTTTTTACATACATTTTCCACCCACATTGGTACTGGTAATGATATTACAGAAACATAATGGTTGTTATTTCAATTTCAAAATTTTGAATACTTTTGCTTTGGCAATTTTTTTTAAAATAAGAGAATCAAAGTTGAGAGGTTAAAAAAGCAGAGTAAATGATCATTAATAATTTTGATGCTTTTCTGTCATTATTAATGGGTTGTATTATGTAACATAGATGAAAATATCCTATTGTTGTTAAAAAAATTATTCCGGTCAATTAGATATATGTGTATAATACTGATCATAGATCAGTTTGAGATTTGATATTTCATGAAATACCTCTTGATTTGCTTATGTTGTCTTACCACAAAGCTTCCACTGTTACTAAAAATAAAAAGATATTAAATTTCAACAGACTTTTGTTATATTTTAAAGAATTTTGCTCATCTACAATTTGAATATTAAATTTTGATAATGAAAAGGCCAGTAAGAGTGCACGGCTCAGTTGGTAATCATTTCTTATTTTCATTTCAAATGGGTCTCAATTAAATTTCTTTTTATCAATTTGGAAAAAATTGCATGCAACACAAAAGATTAAATATATGTATGAAAGTTTTTGAACTAACATTTAAAAAAAGCTGCATGATATGTATTTTTTGTTGCTCGAATGTCTAGGTTTTGGCTTACCTTGTGCCATGAGTTGTCATTAATCTAACATTAACTGATAAGTAATCAAGAAGCACAGGGTCATGATTTTAGGTGGTTTGCAAGCTGGGGTAAAGGAGTCCCAAATTTGTTCAAATCTATGACCTTGACATCATTTTAAGGTCAAATGTATTGAATGTGTTTAAACCTTTAAACAACATCTGGTTAACTAAATGCCCAAGGGTCGTGGTACCAAGTCTGTAGCATGCAGCTTGCTCAAACAAATGGCAATGACCCACTTTCAAGGTCATAGGTCAAATGTGTTAAAACCTATAAGCAGCATCTAAATAATCGGCCATATTTAGTCAACCGAATATGAAAGAATAAAGTACATTGACATTATAGTAAACCAATTATGTGAACAAAAAAAAAGTCTTTCCTTATTAACATATTTTCTGTTCTCAACGAAAATGTTTTCCACTGAAGAATTAAACTCAACTTGATCTGACCCATAAAAATAACCTATTGTAATATGACACCTTATTTAATTCTACTCATCTTTCATTCCTTATTAATGAAACAAAATTAATACCAGTTGAAATATATAAAATTTGGTCATTGATCGTGCACTTACTCCATTCTGAACAAATTTTTTCCAGTTATTACAAATCCTTGACCATTTTGAAATGTAAAATTTGATCATAACCTTTAACACAATGACCTTGACTGTTTGTTTGCTGGGTTTGTTACCTGTGAACAGACAGGGCCATTTAGAGGTGGTTTCTCTCGAATTTGTTGTTCTACATACGGGAAGTTAAATCAGCATCTTGTAGATACTATATTGCATTTTCTGCTTTGTTTTAAAGCATACTGATGATGCCCAGTGTTGTATCTAAAAATAACATGATCCCTGAGGGATCTTGGTGCCCAACATTGTTTAATCTTTATTTGCTCTTTGAAAGTTGGATCTTTTCTGTCTTTTCTATTCTCTGCTTTTGCTCTTAAGGATAAGAAATTTGAATATTCCTTTGCAGAAATAGCAATGATAATCTTAAACTGCCAAATCCAAGATGGTCGCCTACAAGCCATTTAGTTTTTCTGGTCAGTCCCAAAATCAAATGGGCACAACTAGAGACCAAGAGGCCCCTACATTTGCAATTTGAGAAAGATCCATACTGTAAATCTCTAGAAATAGCAATAACAAACTTGCAAAGTGAAAATTTAATATAGTCGCCTGTCAGCCATTTTGTTTTTCTGATCTGTCCCAAAATCAAACGGGCACAACTAGGGACCAAGAGAAACCTGAACATGAACATTTGAAAAAGATCTATGCTGTATTTCTCAAGACTTGGCGATAACAAGTTTCAAAGTCAAAATCCAACATGGCCGTCTGTCATTTTGCCTTTTTGATCAGACCAAAAATCAAGTGGGCATAACAAGGGACTAAGAGGAACATACATATGAAATTTGAGAAAGGTCCATTCAGAACTTCTCAAGAAATAGCAACAATTATCTTGCAAAGTCAAAATCTAAGATGGCTACCTGTCCGCCATACATTTGTTCACTTTGGTCTCTACTTGTGCCTGTTTGATTTTGGGACTGATCAGAAAAAATTTAAAGACTTCCAGACAACCATTTTGGATTTGGCAGGTAAAGATTATCATCGCTGTTTCTGCAAAGGAATGTTAAAATTTACCATTGCAGTGGTTGATTTAATGATGAATTTAAAAATCCTCAAGCATTTGTTTCAAGGTTCAGAAGTTTAACATAACACTACCAAAATAATTTACTCTTCTTAATAGTTGTCTTCTGTGATATTGAATTTTCACATAAAACCATCTGGACATTAGGCATCTTGCACTGAATGGAATCGTAAGTAACAAGTAAATTCATGCAAACTATCAAGTTTTTTGACATTTTACACATTACGATCTTTCATAGTTTTACCAAAATCTTGAGGTCAACTGGGTGTATTTCACATTGAAATCAGGTAAGTTCAACACTAGAATTTCATCCCACTATGTCCTTGTCTATACAAAATTTGCATAAAACATAAAACCAAATACTGAGCAGAAAAATCCAAAATACAGTGGAAAGATAGAACTGTGTACTGTTCTTAAATGTAGTAGTGTATACAAACTTATTTTGACACAATCCAATTTTAGTGCATGATGACATTAACGCAGTGATACATTTGTGTGAAAAGTGCTGAAGAAAAAAAAAATACTTTTAAGGTAAAAGAAAAGGAAGACACAGGTATACATTTAAACTGTTTATGTAGGTAATTTTCCTTTCAAATATCACAAAAAAATGTCACATGCATACAAAATACACTAATGGCCATCTCTGTCTCTTTTGTATTTACAATGACTTAATGGCCAGCTATCAAGATTTCTTCTAATCCTCGTTATCAGGGGGAATACCAAGTTCTGCATCTGTCCACTTTAATGGGTCTGGACATATAGAATGAACCTGTGGGGGAAAAAAAAAGAAAAATATTTAGCATGATTTATATACTCACTTTCACATCAACAGACATCTTAGCATTATCAATTTCAAATTAACATTTTTGATCATTTGGTCAGATATTCCATACCTCCTTTTCATTCATTTGGATCATGTGGAAGAATATGAAAAGTAAAATGGAAATTGTCTCATTTGAGATTGAAAAAATAAATTATCAGAATAACTCGCCCAAGTCTTTGTTTGTTCGTTCTTCTCTTGTTTTGGTTTTTACTTTTTATCTCAGAGAGTTGGGGGTGGTTCGCAGTTAGAGTGCGGTTAGGATTTCAGAAAATATTTTTGTTTCTATTACTCTTATGAAGTATGAAATAACATGGCTGTGTTTAATATCAAAGTAAGATGTGAACTGCCTTAAGACTATGCACCAAAACCCAGAACATTTTTTGGACAGGTATTATATATTCTTAAATGTTTAAATACATAAGAAAATATATAAATTTCATTAAGATTGCCTATTTTGAAGGAAAAATATCTTTACATATTAAAATTGACACTTCGTCAAGAAAAAGTTAAATTATCCACAAATAGAATGCAGGTCACACATAATTTGGCTTTTCATTTATAAAGAAACATCCAATAAATAATTACAAAATTTATATGCATCATTTCCATACTAACAGTTTTCATATAATTTTAAACTATTATGTAATTAGTCCCAAATAATTCAATTATCACACAATAATGATGCCACAGTTACTAGGTTTTAACATGTTCATCAAGTGTTATCGCATTGTGCTGATGCCAAGAAATTTTCCTTGTCTATATATATATAAATTTGCTATAGATATATGGGGGTACTAAATGAACCTAAAAGTAACCCAGCTGGTAAGCCGCAACATACTGCTCTCTAGCTCAACCAGATGAGCGTAAGACTAGCAAGACAGAGGTCCTGGGTTCGATCCCAAAACTTCCTTACACTGGCACCCACAAGAAATTCCTCTAACCTAGCAGCTAGTATTTGCAAAGGTTAAATTTATTGACGGGTATGCTTTTGAGGTTTAATTAATTTATGATTATAAATAAAATTTCCTGGCAAGTTGTGAATTAAAATTCAGAAAATTGCTTGATTAAAGTCCGACACCCAACTTGTGATTCTAAAGAGTTGATATATATATATATACTGTGATTTTTTTATATATATTCATACACAAAGCAGACAAAAAAATATATCCATTCATCATCATTTTGGTTAACATTTTTTGTAGTGTTATTTGTTAATAAATTGCAGATTTATTGTATGTATATGGTAACCGAACAAACTAAACTTCTTTTGTCTTTTAATTTACAAAATGTCATCAAGACGTTTGGTGCTTGTGACAAAACAAAACAGTTGAATGAATTTTTGCAGCTCTTTTGTTGATTTTCTAAGTACTTTGTTTCCATTAATAGCAAGCTGTTCAAAAAATCTGACATGAATTTTAAGAAAATTTCATGTTAAAATCAAGTACCAATAAAAATGCAGTTTTTTTAAAACATGAAATTTAAGCCTGAAGAAAATACATGACTTTACATATGTTTCACACAAACCTGTTATAGAAATTGTTTTACTCATGACTATGTAATTCAAGTAGTCGTGGCTATCAATAACACTTACCTGAAGATGATGATACCTTGTTGCATATGCATAGAACAGAGCTGTTAATGTCGCATAACCGATAGACTCATGCTTCAACATTTCAATGTCTGATTTTACACTGCAATTCAAAGAAAAGGAAATAAACAAAATGCAGACATGATGCACACAGCATTGAAGAACCTATTTAAAGGGTTTTTTTTTTTTTTTTTTTTTTAATTTTTTCAGTTTTTATTTTTCAACCAAGAAACATTTATAAACATCAGACAATAATATCAAATTGGAAATCTGGACCTGTCTGTATATATAGGTGTACGATACTTGACATCACTGTATCTGTGAGAAGCCTTATCAAATGCCTTCACAAAATCCATATGTAACATCAATACATCCAATATCCTAGTCAGAAACATAAAAAACCTGGAAAATTGCTGAATGGCCCTCCAGGAATAAATGTTACTGAACAGACTGTTTTATTTCATATATCAGCTGAAAGATTTTAGCTTTGAAAGTTTTTCCATTGTTTTCACTATGACATATACTTATTAGAATTGCTGGAAAATAATTTTCTGTGTCTGAATCGGGTCCCTTTTTGTAAATGGGTTTGACAAGCATCTTTCTAAAATTTCAGTAATTTCCCTTCTTTCAATGCTTTATCAAAAAATCTGTAAGTCTGCAAGTTCTTTCAAAACTTTTGGGTGCATATCATCAGGCCCACATGGTTTATTCCTGTCCAAATTTAGAAAATGTTTTCTTATCTTGATCAATTTTTAATGGTTAATTAACTATGACTGTAGATAAGGATACACCCAATCATATTTTATTGGTACATATTATAATTCCTTGACTCCTCTAGATCAAGACAAGTCATGCCTGGCATTTGCTTGGACTAATCCTATACATATAAGAGGTATTAGTCATAGTGGCAGACAGATATCAGAGTAGGCTAGGACTACAATTAGACACAGGGGAGTGGCCTTGAAAATTACGGGTCATTCTCTGTATTCCACTTCCTCCCATTGCTTGACACTATTTCCTCTACTCATTTTCCTATCGTTTCTCATCCACTGAAACCGAAAGGCTGTAATAGTGGATGTATGTAACAGAACAGGTAAAATACATATTCCTGTTGCACTCCAGTCAGAAAACTCGGGTCTCTGGCATGATAATTGACTAGCTCTACAAATTGAGCAAAAGAATCGTGCTTTATCAGCCTCGTGACAGAGACTGTATTTAACAGGTACTGGAGCAACTGCAGATCCAGGATTATAATCAAATCTGACTATACATATATTGGGCAAATGTAAACAACTGAGCCATACCTGGTTGCGACCATGGTGTGCACAGAAAAAAAAGATGACAAATCTAGCGAGTTGGTAAAACAAATTTCGCTGTAGCAATTTTTGGTACTTGCAACCCTTTATCCACATGTTTCGATGGTAAGCGTGAATTTTCCATAATTCATTATTAAAACACATCATATTTCACTTGCACCCACCACACAATTTACATTCCTTGCGGGTTATGATGTTTTTACACGAAAACATCATGCTGAAAGTGAAAGAGTACATGTGGCCAAAATCTGCATCAAAGTGATGCTTATTTGCAGACGCCACAATAAGTGAATGACGCAACATTGGATGGACTCGCTATAGAGTTTGTTACATTGTATCGTAGTACCAATGGAATTACCAAAAATTGTCTGAAATTGAACAAATATGCCAAAAACATAATATGACCGACTTACAGGATTCGTCATCCATTTTTTCGATCTTCACGACAGAAATGTAACCGGACTTTGTCTGGATGTTTAAATTTGTCCTATATAAGTATAGGCAGATTTGACTATATAGCAAGATTGATTTGCCGGTACTCCAGCACCTGTTTAACACTATATACAAGACCTTTGGTTTTATTTTTGGCAATATTGTCTGACCCTGTGTTCTATAACTTAACTAGTCGTATCTATCAAAAATCAATTACCGACACTTGAAATTAAACTTAATATTAAATTCATTCATTAAAAAAATTGTTCTGGACAAAGCCATCACTTACAATTTAGTAAAATTTGCCCAAGTTAAGGGTTTTTTCGATGCCTCAGCGATACCCTTTACAATCGACGCCATCTTGTCAAGGACAAATACATATCGCATTTTCGTATTAATCTATTTTTTACTTTTTGACCAATCTTAGTTTACGTTCACGCTGAAGATAAGAAACGTAAAACAGAATAATAAATTATTATTTATTTGTCAAAAAAACACTATGTACGAAACTATTAGGACAACTCCTAGCTCTCGATGAGACTTCCTTGACAACTACATAACAGGTGCTTGGTCTGTTCGGTAAACGGAATCAGCGGCAAAATATTGAAAGACGGATATTTAAGGCATGATGTGAAGCGCTCTGGAGGTGAAGGTAACGATTTCGATTTCAACAATAATTGAAATCGGGTTAACCATGCTATTTTTGTGGGAATTATGCATATGTATGCGTAGCTTTATAATTGAGTCGGTGCTGTCGACATGACACTCTTATTGACAGTGTTATATGGCCGAAAGTGTGATCGAGAGCAGCTACATTATTTGCATGTACTCCATTGCTAAATATTAAAGTCTTTACAAATATGGATTTCTTACCCATTTTAAAAAAAGAAATGTGTTAATTCCGCTATTGCTGTAGAACAGTATTTAAGCTAACCGAATCTGATAGCATTTTTCATATTTATCACTGAACACCAGTTAACAAAACATAAAACACATTGGCAAAAATAACACAGGAAAGAAAGTCGTTGAAGCAGTCAAAAGACCATTACAAAAAAAAGTGTCATTTCTTGCATAGTTTCTGTAAAAAATAATCCTTGGCACTGTAAATGAACTTTCGATATAACTTAATTATTGCTGACAATAGTAGAACATAATCCTGTAACAGATGGATAGGCAAGGACTTACGTGTAGCTGTATGGATATATGACTTCATGTGAACTATACATCCATTCATTCATCTGACAGAAAATACTTCTTTGGCTTAGTTGGTACAGTGTTGGATGTCCACACTGCAGACCTGAGTTTGATTCACAGTACTCAACTCATTGTGTCCCTGTTCTTCGCCATTCTTGTGTTTTTAGTAATGTTAGTATTAAGGCATTGAAACTATTTGGTAAAATTTGTAATTCTGTACACTTTGCACATACTTGCCAATCTTCTATATTTAGGAAGAAGAACCCCAATTTTGAACTCTGTATTTTGCTATTTTCGACAAGGAAATTCGCTAAACCATTCTTATATTCTAAAATCTAATGATTTCATTTCAACGAAGAATCCAAATTACAAGCGTTGTTTCTTGGCTGGAGGGTATAAGTACATTTTCTTTATGTTTTTATAATTGAACATTTAAAATTAAAATGTCTCCCATGAAAATTTTAAAAAGTTGTCAAGTATCTTGTAATGATGGATTTTCCAATTTTCAATAGGTTCTAGTGGCAAGGTTACGCCACTAATATAAAAAAAAAAAATTTTAGCTTCTCAAATTCACTTCATATGCATCTGGTATAAATCCCTTTCAATGTTTACTTTGTAAATACATAAATCCATATATACCAAATGAAACCATAAGTGTTTTATTATGAAGTTCTATCATTGTGATTTGCACTAATAATTTTATTCTTTAGAAAAGGCTCTGATCATCTTTTGCATGAAATTCATTTTTTTTTTTACAGATTTAGAAACATCAAAGCTGTGTATATTGCTGATTCACACAACACAAAAATGGCATTGAAACTAAAAGGAATTCCCACAATTTTTGGGGAAACTTTTGAGAAAAATGTCACCTTCTGCGTGGACACATCGGGAAGTATGTTTAAAGGCCTGGATGTGGTCAAAGAACATTTGGTGGAAACTCTGTTAAAACATGCTCAGAAGAGTCAGCCAACATCATTTAATATAATAGAGTTTAATTCAGAAGTGACACAGTGGGCAGATAAGATGGTAAAATGTAGTGCTGAAACTGTTGAAGTAGCTGCAGAATGGGTGAAAAGACTAAGTGCAAAAACTGGGACCAATACCATGGATGCATTGCTGACTGCACTCGAGGATCATGGTTGTGAGGCAGTCTACCTTGTTACAGATGGCCTGCCAGATCAACATCCTGTGGACATCCTTGATCAGGTGACAAATGCTGTGCGAGGCCGTCCAATTCACTGTATCTATCTTTGTTCAGAAGATGCCATGGACACATCTGCAATTGAATTTCTTGAAGATCTATCTGTCGAGTCCTATGGATCTTTCCATATTATCACTTTGACCCAACATGGCTGTGTAGAACGTATCACTCCAATCTACAGGGCAGATCATGCTCACGAGCGAATTATAAGAACATTAAATGGAACGTTACATAACCATGCAAAACAATGCAGTGTAGCCACGACTCTAAAAGTGGATCCTGAAGAATCCCTCGCACTTACACCACGGGTTTCCTTTTTCAACCAGTACCCGGGGTATCCCGGTTATCCTGGTAACCCCTATGTTCATCCTGCATGGGGCAGTTGGTTCATGCAACCATACCGTTATTACTTTCCTAATGGATGGAGTCGGTATCGCCCTGCACGAGGATGGCTTAAATCACAAGAAACAATGTTGGATCACATCGAGAATTCTGGTGTATCTCCAGCTGCTGGAGCCCTTTTGATTGGCAAGCGAGTTCTGGCACGTCGAATTGACGATGGATATTTCTATCTCGGCACCATCAAAAGCCAGGTATGTATTCTGAAACTTTTTAATAAGTAAATGCAGGGGTAGATTAGTTTGAAGCTATTTATGTGTGCACTTGTCATACTGCCGATTTGTCGTTTGTCATGCTGCTGATTTGTCGTTTGTCATGCTGCCGATTTGTCGTTTGTCATGCTGCCGGTTTGTTGTATGAAGGGGATCAAGTTTAGCCAACACATAAAGTCTGATGTAATTAATAGGCGATGGACTTATTTTTTGGACATGGTCTACCACTTAGTGTTATCCTTTCTATGGGAACAGTTGACTGCCACAGTTTTTGGATGGACTTATTAAGACATGGCTAGGGCTTTGGGATGAAGCAAAAATGGCTCATCTCAAACCAGTGGGAAAAAGCCCTAGCCATGTCTTAATAAGTTCATCCAATGAATTTGGAAGGAAATTTTCAACTTGGCTTCAATACAAAATAATTTCAGTTGGGACTGCAGCCCATTATTACAAAAAAAAAGAAACTTATATGAAAGCCCTGCAGTACTTTCTCCAGTTCTCTAAAAGCCTATTTATTATGTTTTCATACTTCCGTTGCTTACCAAAATGCCAACATATTTGTCCAAAAGGTGATAATTAACTCTACCTTATTTACCAAATCATGTGTACCCCAAGTGTTTGTTAAAACACTGCCTTATTAAACAAAATCATGTGTACCCCAAGTGTTTGTTAAAACACTGCCTTATTAAACAAAATCATGTGTACCCCAAGTGTTTGTTAAAACACTGCCTTATTAAACAAAATCATGTGTACCCCAAGTGTTTGTTAAAACACTGCCTTATTAAACAAAATCATGTGTACCCCAAGTGTTTGTTAAAACACTGCCTTATTAAACAAAATCATGTGTACCCCAAGTGTTTGTTAAAACACTGCCTTATTAAACAAAATCATGTGTACCCCAAGTGTTTGTTAAAACACTGCCTTATTAAACAAAATCATGTGTACCCCAAGTGTTTGTTAAAACACTGCCTTATTAAACAAAATCATGTGTACCCCAAGTGTTTGTTAAAACACTGCCTTATTAAACAAAATCATGTGTACCCCAAGTGTTTGTTAAAACACTGCCTTATTAAACAAAATCATGTGTACCCCAAGTGTTTGTTAAAACACTGCCTTATTAAACAAAATCATGTGTACCCCAAGTGTTTGTTAAAACACTGCCTTATTAAACAAAATCATGTGTACCCCAAGTGTTTGTTAAAACACTGCCTTATTAAACAAAATCATGTGTACCCCAAGTGTTTGTTAAAACACTGCCTTATTAAACAAAATCATGTGTACCCCAAGTGTTTGTTAAAACACTGCCTTATTAAACAAAATCATGTGTACCCCAAGTGTTTGTTAAAACACTGCCTTATTAAACAAAATCATGTGTACCCCAAGTGTTTGTTAAAACACTGCCTTATTAAACAAAATCATGTGTACCCCAAGTGTTTGTTAAAACACTGCCTTATTAAACAAAATCATGTGTACCCCAAGTGTTTGTTAAAACACTGCCTTATTAAACAAAATCATGTGTACCCCAAGTGTTTGTTAAAACACTGCCTTATTAAACAAAATCATGTGTACCCCAAGTGTTTGTTAAAACACTGCCTTATTAAACAAAATCATGTGTTCCCAGAGTGTTTGTTAAAACACTGCCTTATTAAACAAAATCATGTGTACCCCAAGTGTTTGTTAAAACACTGCCTTATTAAACAAAATCATGTGTACCCCAAGTGTTTGTTAAAACACTGCCTTATTAAACAAAATCATGTGTACCCCAAGTGTTTGTTAAAACACTGCCTTATTAAACAAAATCATGTGTACCCCAAGTGTTTGTTAAAACACTGCCTTATTAAACAAAATCATGTGTACCCCAAGTGTTTGTTAAAACACTGCCTTATTAAACAAAATCTGTACCCCAAGTGTTTGTTAAAACACTGCCTTATTAAACAAAATCATGTGTACCCCAAGTGTTTGTTAAAACACTGCCTTATTAAACAAAATCATGTGTACCCCAAGTGTTTGTTAAAACACTGCCTTATTAAACAAAATCATGTGTACCCCAAGTGTTTGTTAAAACACTGCCTTATTAAACAAAATCATGTGTACCCCAAGTGTTTGTTTAAACACTACCTTATTTACCAAATCATGTGTACCCCAAGTGTTTGTTAAAACACTACCTTATTTACCAAATCATGTGTGCCCCAAGTGTTTGTTAAAACACTGCCTTATTAAACAAAATCATGTGTACCCAGAGTGTTTGTTTAAACACTGCCTTATTTACCAAATCATGTGTACCCCAAGTGTTTGTTAAAACACTGCCTTATTAAACAAAATCATGTGTACCCAGAGTGTTTGTGAAACACTGCCTTATTAAACAAAATCATGTGTACCCCAAGTGTTTGTAAAGACACTGCCTCATTTAACTAAATCATGTGTCCCCCAAGTGTTTGTTTAAAACTCAAGTTTTTTTTTAATATTTCTCAAAATCATGTTATTACCTAGTGTCAGTTAAGATAGATTGACTAAAATACTTCCCTATCTGACAAAATTATTCAAATGTCTATCTGTTACTTAACACAGGTTTAAAATACAATACCTCTCTGATGTCAGTTAAAACAGGTTCAATGAACAACTGCTTTATCTGAACAAATAATGTGGGCCTTATGTTAATGTCAGTGTATCGGGGTATATATCCATATTTAAACAACAAGAGTCTGCTCCCTATTTACGGAAATATGATTGATGCTTCGTGTGTAAATTATCAATATTTATGAATAATCAATAAAAGTCAGCATGATCATAAGAGAAACCATGGCAACATATAAACAATGTAACAATATAAATTACCTACCTATAATTAATGAAATTGTACAATTCTCAGGTTACCATGGCAATAGTGATACAGGTATTGCTGTCCATTAATGGTATAACAAGTTATCACATGTGTGTCATTAAATCATTACTAAAGTATTGGATGAAAATTGCTCCAGAAAGAATCAACCAAGTGAAGAAGATTACATTACAATATACTAATAATTATTTATTGATAGTTTTTTTCTCTGTAAACTAATACAACAAGGCCTTAATACATGTACATCCACTTCTACAAACATATCACAAAAAATAGGGTAGATCAATTTAAGTATCTTTTTATTTTCATGCCCATCATTTTATTGAGGGATGGGGGACATATAGTGTTGCCTTTGTCTGTCCATTCTGTTGCGTTTCAAACCAATGTCATTATTTGAGAACTACTAAACAGATCTGGTTCATGTTGTCTAATGGTATTGCTGCCACTGGTTTTTGACTGAATTGTTGGATGCACACATTAGGCAAACAGAAACATTTGTTTTTAGTATTTTTAATTCCAGAAAGTACCTGTGTACATTTCATAAGTGAGCACATTATGCTGGTTTTTACGGTATTAATATCAAGCTCTACACCTTATCATATTAAGTTGGTCATAGGTCAAGGTTAATGGGTCAAAGGTCACATTTCATGACTTACGAAAATTCAGCAGACAATGATGCTGAAATACATTGGGCATTTGAATGACCATCATTAAAAATATCATATCAACTTTGGTTTTGACAACAACATAAAGGGTCATTCAGTTGAAACATCATGTCATTTGATTTTAATTTTGTATCAATTTTCATCAATAAAACTGCTCAGTTTGTGAGTTTCCATTTATTCTCTTTGCATCTGTATATTTTGAAATAAAATAAAAATAGAATTGCTTTTTGAATCTATTTCATTTTGATATGAATATGAATTGTTGAACTATCGCTTTATTTCAGATTTTATCCGATAAATTCTTGGTCGCTTTTGGTCCATGTAAACACGGAAAATATAAGGAAACAACATATCAGGACACATTTGTTTACGATCTGGTGGACTACGAAGACGCCAAGCGCCATACTATCATCACCTCAGACAAAGTGCTGGCCCCATGGGAACCCCAAGGGGAGAGGTTCGGGCCTGGTGTTGTCATAGAGGGACACGAGAAAAGGGGTTCTGAGGGTATGTAAATTCTTATTAGCCAATATGATTAGTTTATATCTAAAACATTTCCAGTGAAATGTTATTTGATATGTTTTTGATACATATTGTGTATATATGTTAAATGCTTATTCCATTGCTGTTTTTATTTGTTATCTATTTAGAATTTTTTGCCAAATTTAGCGGGAAGTTGTGTAAATATTTTCAGGGATAGACTGTGTAATTTGTATCAGAATCAGAAAAAAAATGTGTTTTTAGAAATTGTTTTCTGAAAACATTGTAATTTTTATCCATTCCTATACATGCATAATTTGATTACACAATAATATACACGTATATGCAAGATATATACCTGTATGTGTGTATGTAAAAAGTTTTAGAATATTTGTTTCACATCAAATTGCAAATTCAAATGGACAAGAAGTGTATATATATCTTTATATGTATTCAAAATTTTAGAAGTTATTTTTGCATTTATAAAATAATGAATTTATTCCCCCACGACACAAGTAAAGCTAAGTGCATGTCATTAATGTTATGGGAGAATTTTTGGGTTTCGGAAAAGGCGCATATATGATTATCCTATGTAATATAGTACATGTTGAGGATTTCAGTGAGAATTTTGTCAAAACACAGGGAAATATCCCTAAATCTCGCCCCAAGTGATCATCCCTTAGAGTGATGCACCAATTTTTTTTTTCTATTTTATAAAAAAAAAAAAAAAAATGAAATGAATAATAAGTAAAAAGTTAAAGAAAAGAACGAAGCTGTTTGTAAGATGATAATGAAAGCTATGATAGACCTGTTTGATGTAAGATCACTTCTGGATTCAATAAATCTAAAATGAAACACCCCAAGATTTTTATTACACTGATAATATGAATGTAAATACATGTGTACCCTGTACATTATATCTTGAGAGTTTTGTTGTCCCAGCTTTCTTCTCGGTAACCTTCAGATTGGAGTGCGTGAATATTTTTCTGATTTCTTCAGCAATGATTCCTTACAATGTTTCAGTTATAAGAATTTATGCTAATTATAACTATTCTTTCTGAGAAACTTCTGCTATGAACATGTCACATTAATTTCATTTGATATTTAAGAAATACATATATATATATACATTAGACTTTCACAGAGAAAGTATTTTTAAGAAATTAAATTGAACATACATTGTATGCCAAATATATATTGAAAAGATTGTACAAAAAACACAAGTGAATGACACCTTTTGATGTAAATTTAGAGTTAGATACAGCAGAGCCACAGATTTAATCAAACAGCATCATACAGCTGTTTCATCCTTTAAGGACTCATCTTGATTTCTATGGGGTTTTTATGTTAAATTTTTTTCCCTTTTTTTCTTTTTTTTTGTTTGTTAAAGTATTTATTCATAAATCACATATTTTCAATATGACATTGATACAAAACTCTATTTCTCTCTCTTGTCTACTAGAGATAGGTTTGAATAATGTATTATACTTAGCAATATTGATTCAATTGATTTTTTTAACTGTGTACAACACTCATGTTTTCTGTATCCATGGGCCCAGACTGGATGTTTGTCAGTGTCAATATAACCTTGTATGTATAAAGACAGAACACGATCGCTCATACAAACCTGCTTGGGACCAAACAGATCCATTTCAGTCTTCTTTTACCTGTTTCCCTTACACTTGAACCAACAGTGGTCACGTACATATATAACCACTGTTCTGTATTTTAAATCACTTTCTAAACGACCAAAGTATTGCTACCTTGCTAGTTTAAATGTCATATTGGCAGGAACTTTAAACATTTATTCAATACCACAATTTGTTCTTAGTCAGTGATTCTTTCAAATTTATTATTTACTTTCCTGATTGAATAGAACAGTTCATACAAATGATCTGGAGTTGGTCTAAATTTAATGTTTAAAAATACTGAGGGTGAAAATGTATCTATGAGAAACCCAGGTATAGAGTTACATTTTTTTTCTTTCAAAATGTAATCCTGTTTTATTTTAATTATTTTTTGATGATTTTAGACAGATTAAAGCAGTTAAAAGATCTAGAGACTACGAGAAACAGCTCTTCATATTAGTTTTTATAAATTAGTCAGGTTCCTGCCAAGAATCTTAACAAAGAGCTAGTTTTTCAAGAGATTGATTTGGCCTGGTAAAGGTCTTTGTGTAATGCAATTTTAAAAACGGGTACAAAAGTGTTATTGGTATTAAACACGATATTTCCCAATAACTGGAGAGGTAGAATAGTTTCTTTATTTCAAACCCAAGATGAATAAAGCATTGATATGATATTCTAAACCAATTATTTTTTCATGATTTCAATCTCCCAGATTAATCTGCCACAATATTTTTAAGTGAGTCTTCCAGTCTTGGATTAGGGTGTTATTTCACTGCCCCAGCTAGGATTCAAACCCAGTGTAGCGTTGTGTTGTGAAGCATGGTAAAATGAACTGGAATCAAAATGATGATGTGAATCATGTATCTTTTCACAGTTATGGTAAAGTGAACCTCCTTATGGTAAAATGAAGCAGCCCTTATAATTTGTTTTCAATTAGTTTTTCTTAGCATCAAGTTTTTTTTGTATCAACAATTTTGTTCCTTCATATTTGATATACAAAAAAATATCAAAAGGGGTGATCTGAAAATGATTTGGTGAAAAAAACTTCAACAGTAAGATAAGTATATAGGTGAAAAATTTATCTTAAAAAAGAAAATAGAGATATAATTCATTTTACCATAATGGTAAAGTGAAGCTCCTTAACAAACCCTAAATGTTCTGATCTCTGACATAATATTGGTTGTTTATGTGTTTTAAAGAATGATTCACGATAAATTCAAATGGGTGTAAAAAGTGAATTAAGGTAGTAAGAAAGTAATGGTATGTTTCACTTAACCATGGCCATGGTAAGGCCCGTTGTCCCATCATCTGTTTCTCATTCCTATTTATTTTGTTGTTGTTTATTTTAACATGTATTGGGGAGCATATTAATTAAATCAACTGATAAATAATTAAATGAAAAATATTTGAAAAAATATATCAAGTGGCGTCATTTTACTATGTCGGCCAGATGGGATGGAGGGGTCATTCCACCATAATAGTACTACACACTACTGAGAGTTTACATACTCCCTCTTAGGAAAGAAATTGTTCTCAAGTTTAAAGGGACTATTTATTTATTTATTTATTTATTTATTTATTAAAGGTCCTGATGACCTACAGATTACTGTCACATTCTCTAATGGACGAACAGAGCGAGTTGCTGCAGACACTGCACTTTGGGTCCCAGAGGAGGTATACGAACGTCTAGTACTGGAACTGAAAATGCCACGAGAAGCAAGAGAAACCCTTCAGACTCACCCTCACTACCCACTGGAGAACCTCCCAGGCTATCCCACCTCTGGCCCCCAAGCTGAGCCTCGTGTATTTGAGCAGCCCCACCCAGTGACCTTTGATGTAGACAGTACTATTGGGAGTCTGTCTTGGCAGTACCCTTACACTCCGGGGTACCCTGTACAACTCAAACAGCCACAGACCTCCATCAAATCTGCTGTTAGTAGCAATGACATGAACAAACTTGTACCAGGTAAGTGCATAGGGTTATATGTGTATATCCAGTAATAAGCCCATGTCTGATAATAAGCCCACTTGTTCACATTACAAAAAAAAAATCCTATTTAGTGTTATGCAATAAGCCACCTCCACTAAAAAAGTCACGGTTGTTGTTTGTTGACTCTCTGGGCTTATTGTCAAATAAGCACAATATATGGGATAACCATACAGTACTTCTGATATTGATGATATTTCGTCTGATACAGTCAAAAGTGTTGAATACACTGAAATAATTTTAAAACTATTTTGCGGTGTATTTTCTAACTAAATACAATTTCCCAAATCACCTTTTAGTAAATTATATTCAGCATGAATCATCTTAAAACATCTGATTTTGCAAACATTTTGAAAGTAGTTTCTTGTCCCATTTTGATATTCATCGTTAAGTAAGTGTACTTGTGTCTCAGAAAAATTACCTTTGGAAATTTTAACTTTAGGGATTTGAAAATTTCAGCTTGAATATTTTTAGCTTCTTCTAAAATAAGTTAAATCCTGAATTTGCTTGGTTCCAGGGGCTCTTGTTAGGTAAATATTGGTAATATGATAACTTTGATGTTTTCTTTGTAGGTACAGACATGACTCAGGGACAACTTGATGAAAAAATCACCTCACAACTGATGGAGCATAAGTTAATCATAAATACAAAACAGAGTGACAGACAAAATGAGGAAAAAGCTGCCCGAGAGGAGAAATCATTAGATATAGAGAAGGAAGAACAAAAGAATGAAAAACAGTTGATGGAAGAAAGTGAAAAAGCTTTGATCAAGGCACAGCAGAAGGAAAGAACAGAGGAAGATCTGGCAGCAAGAATTCAAGAACTGGAACAACAGCTGGAGTTAGAACGACAGAAAGAACAAAACAGACAAACAGAGAAAGATTTAGAGTTAAGACAACAAATGGAGGCTGATCAGTTAGAGTGGGAACGACAGATGGAAAGAGAACGTTTACTGAGGAAGCGAGAGAAGCAAGAAGAAAATATTCTTCGAAAGTCAGTCACTTTTAAGGATGATGTGCAGTTGGAAGATCTCGACAAGTCAGCTGAGGAACAAGCCAAAGAGGAAAAGATGGAAGAAGTCAAATGTGGTAAGGGTCCTTCTTGGTGTGTCAGCAGAACTGTTACATATAGCATACACATTTCTCGAGAGTATACAAATCCAAGTGTTGTAACAATTTAAGTAATATTTGATATGCATGACCTCATATCATATCAACATTGGCATAATTGATACATATGTAGGTTTAGTTTTAATTGCTTGCAAAGCAATTACCAGGTAGAAGATTGTATACAGCTGAAATTTCCTTTGTGTAAACACATGAAGAAAACTACCCACAAATATTTGATCAAAATCACATCAGAATCTGTTTATCATGTATCTGTCAAAGAAAAAAAATTTTTCCTTTGATATGATTTTTTTTACTTCATGGAAAAAAGTTGAAGCATGTGTGTTGACCTTTTTGTGACTTTCTTAAATTCATTTATAATTTCCTTTTTGTTAAAATATCATTATCAACACTAGAGTCAGGAATGGATTTTGGAGATGTAACAGAGTAAGCCAGCTTTTGAATTATCATGTTAAATTCTACTTCCAGAAACTCCTCCTCTGCCCAGGGAATGCTTTGATTACAAATTCTTTGCTGGTGAAGACAACAGATTTGCTGAATCTCTTCCACGGCGTCGAAGGGAATCTCCCCCAAGAAGGTCTCATTCCCCTCGCCAAAGATCCAAGTCCCCACCAAGAAGAAACCGATCTCCTGCCAGGGATTTTAATGTAATCTACCGCCGCCCAGGGTCAGCCAAAAGGAGCCAGAACAAGGCCCCTTGGATAAAATACTGGGGTAGTGACTGTGCCCCTGAAATGATTGGTCCTAACAGACCAGGTCCATTTAGGGAAACAGCCCTTCAAGCTCCCTTAGAGGCCAAAGATCACAGCAGAATGCCACCCTATAGTGGTAAGTGTCATTAAGGATTATAATTACAGATAATTTTCAAATAAACCCATACCTGGTTATATGCCCAGTCCTCTCCAATGCCTTTCAATAGAATATCCCCCTCCCCCATTTCTTTTGTTTCCTGTATTAAGCCCACCCCTGGCTTTAGATGTAATTATAACATACTTGTAAATTCCCCTGGCTTTTTTTCCAGAGTAAATATAATCAGAACAGAGTTTATAAGTTTAATTTCTATTCATTTATTTACTAGAAATGTCCTGAGTAACAAGTTGTCGTCCTTGTTATACTTACTTGATTTTATAATGTCTTACACTCAATAAAAATGGTGTTCTTTACAGTTGAGTGGGCAAATTCAGCATTCAAGTATGTTGACCCGTACGCAAAACACTGTCATGCATCTAATGTGGAGATGTTAATGAAACCCAAGTACCAGAATGCTATGTTCCCACCTCATCGCCCTTCACAGCCCCAAGTCACACGCAGCATGTCAGCAGACGCCAAGGAGGCAGCAAGGAGGGAGTTCAGGTTGGTTATTATACCTAGCATTTAGGAAACAGGGGAGGGTGTATAATTATTGCCTTATCAATGCATGTGTGTGTTGGTGGTGTGTGTGTGCGTGCGTGTGCGTGTGCGTGTGCGTGCATGTGTGTGTGGTGGTGGTGGTGATGAGGGTGTGTGTGCATGTGTGTTGTGGTGGTGTTGGTGGTGGTGGTGGTGGTGCGTGTGTGTGTGGTTGTGGTGTGTGTGTTGGTGTGTGTGGGTGTGTGTGTGCATGCATCCAAAACTAATGCGTCTGAGAGATCTCCAGTTTCTCTCAAAAATTTGCTTTATATTTAGATTATAACATCACAATGTTAAGTTCTATACTAATATTTATGTGGTCATTTGACAAGGTTTAACTTGGGATCAAAGGTCACACTACGAAATAATGACCTTGCATACATTGATATCCCATGAACATTCCTAACTGATTCAGTTCATATCAACACCTCAGTATCATAACTCAAGTTCTACACATGATCAGATTTTGTGGTCATTGGTCAGCATCAAAGGGTTAAAGGTCACACTTGACTACGATATAAAGAACTCATATATATTGATATCTCATGAACATTTCTAACTGATTCTGTTCATATCAACACCTCAGTATCATAATATCAAGTTCTAAACATAATTAGATTTTGGTGGTCATTGGTCAGCATCAAAGGGTCAAAGGTCACACTTGACCACTTTTGAAATAAAAGATCAGAAGAATGGAAATGGATAAAAGTGATGTTGAAGTGGATATTGTTACAGTGTCAGTGATTTTCAGGACTCAAATATTTGAGTCCTGGACTAAAATTGTGAGGACTCACTATATCTCTTATTAATGAGACTCATCAAAATTTTTTAAATGGTGTTCTGGACTCACTTGCAAAAATTCTTCAAAAGTTACTTGTTGTCAAATGTATGATCTTTTCAATCTTTGATATTAATTTTACACAGTGATTTTTAAGTATTTAAAAATTAGTCTAATTCAAAGTTTGGAATTGTACAAAGTTGGTTGGCCCCAAGGGATAGAAGTAATGAATTGATTTTTAAACAGACTATGAGTTATACAATGTTATATAATTACAGGAGGAAGAAAGTTGTCCAGCGACAGGTTGACTGGAATCAGCGACTCTACCAACAGGATCGGATGAAGGAGCTGATGCAGGATAACCATCGGGAACGTATTATGGCTCAACTGGAACACGACCGACAACGGCTAATTAATGAGGAAAGGATGGTTCACCAGTCAAGAGAAGCCAAAAAACAAATTAGTGCTGAGCTTAGGTCAAAACGTGAGGAAGTCAAAAAACAACAAGAAGAACTCCGAATTAAACGAATTGCAGCAATGAGAGAAAGAAGGGAGAAGAGAGAAATAGAACATGTAAAGAAGGAAGAGGAAACAGTAGCTCTAGCAGAGCAGAGACAGGTATAGTTTAAATAACAGAAATTCTTCAGATATATTCTTGTGATAACTGAATTATGATTAGATTCTCTCAGAATATTGCACCCTCGATAATCCAGGGGTTACGATCACTTCATCCTGGAAACTCAAGGGGTTACAGCCACTTCACTCTCTGTACCCCTGGAACATTTAATGGCAAAGTTGATGGCACTATAGAAGTAATTTGATTGGTTCCAGAAGAAAAAACCTGGCCAATCACAAGCTGATTCACTCCTTTTGAAGATTACAAAGGAGTGAACTACAAAGCCATTACATTGTACTGTTATGCGACCTCGAGATTTGTTTGATGTATAACAAAGGATAAAACAAGTATGTTTGTCTTGTCCACAAGGTGTTGCACATGAAAACTTCAATTTTGCCACAAAATATTCCAGGGGTACAGAAAGCAAACATAATTGTAACCCTTCGAGAATCGACGATGGGAATATTGAAGAACCAGGGGTTGTGGTTTGACAATGAATATACATTTTTTTCTATTGTTTCTATTTCAATACTTTCAAATGTTTTGTTTTCTGAGAATGTTCATCAAAAATATTTTGTAATACATACATGATAATTTATATACAAGTTCTCATTGCATGGTATAAACAGTGGTCATGTGATTTTTTTTTCTTACAGCAAGCTCGAATTCAAAACTCCCAAAAACGCTGGGACCAACATCAACAACGCCTTGAATCGGAGCAAGTTCAATTCAGGCAGCATGCATCACAAGTCCTAAATGCTAAGGTGAACAGGATTGAACATTTCCGGAGTCTAGAGGAAGAAGGACAGCGAAGAAAGGATTTGCGCATAGCTGTCTCAGACCAGCACCTAGCAAATTATCGTTCACAGGTTTTGCCATGAGGCTCCGTTCATATCTGTTCATAACTGTTTTTATTTAGAACTTTTTATACCTTTGCAAATGTAGTAAGTTTTCTTTTAGCAAAATAATGAATAAATTAATCTACTGCTTGCTCAATTGTCAACTTAAGGAATTCTTCATGAAAAACGACTTAGATGGGTGATGGTGACATTTAGGAGATATTTCTGTTCAGAACTTTTTTCTTTAAACATTGTTAATACCCATCTCTGTTTTAATTTGCTAGTCAATATTTCATTCCATGTATGTATGAGTCAGTTTCATTTGGAGTTTATGTACTAGTGTGTTGTAAAAATTAGTTGTATGTTCGTGTCATAGAAGTGTATGTCAATTAATGACAAACTATATGTATTATATTAGTTCTAAAACCAGTGCTTTATACTGTTAGCCAGAATTTGGTTTCATTGAAACATATTCCAGCATATGCTTTCCTCTTTGATTAAATTTTGACTGGTGGTCTTAGAGGTTGCAGAAATTTAGCACTTATAGAAACTAATATGTATTTAAAGAAATATATTTTTCATCTGTAACTCAACACATTCTAAGTTTGAATTTAAGTTTTATTAAAAAAAAATTGTGAAATGGGCTAGGTATTGAACATCTAGCTTATCTTTAAGTGAAAAGTAAATCTTCGCATTCAGACATCTAAAAAATTTGATTTGGTCATGAATGTCAATATTGTAGATAATTACATGCCTCAAAATAGCATCCCGTCAATTACATTTCTCAATAAAACTGTTTGTAAAAAACCATCTGAGACTGAATACTCTATTAAGCTTTGTGAAGATCATAATGTCATTCAAGTTTGACTATATGTCACAAAAACAACATTTTATTTGAAAAGGATGTTTTTCTTTGATAGAGTGATTGAAAATTGTATTTCTGAGCTTTTAAAATGTATGTTTGCTTTGTCAAGCAAAAGATCAAATGACTGAATCTTGACAACAGTTTTCTAGTTGGCAAGTGGAAGAAAATGTAAAGTCAGCTGTTGAATTGTCGTGATGCATGGTTTTGCACACATGTTTTGAGTATGTAACTTATTTGTCACTTTTGAAATAAGGAATGTAAAGTTTGTTTTGAAGTCTAATACCGGTAAAGACTGATTTTTTTATGAGATTCATGCTGAGCTCAATTTCGCATCAGTGTTGGTAAACATTTTCGTGAGCCCATGAGATCATCTAAACATAAAAAAAACAGAATCATCTAAATATAGATTATTTGAAAATTTCTATTTCTTATCATTGTCATACAGTAGTTGATAAATGATTAAGCTAAAGTAAAGATTCAAATAATGAAAAAAATGCCATTGTATGTACAGGTTTTCTTTACCCAGCTAGAAAGAGCTAATAGTTAAGAAAAAATGATAACTAATAATACTTTCAATACTTTAAAAAGATATCTGTTGTATAGAATGGATGGATTACAAATCTATTTGACCCGAAAAAATTTGGCATATTTCCAAACCTGTTTTTGTATTTACATAAAATTTTTGTAGAGAGTGCCAATACATTGGTTAAATTATATCTTTTAAAAAATATGCCTTAAATGTTTGAGTATTTCTACCTCAGAAAATCAAATGAATTTAACCAAGTTAATCAATATTTATCTTTTAATGTTAACAAATAAATATGAAATGATAAATTCAAATCTTCCAAAATTTTGTATATTTTAGAAATACTTACCTATCATGCAGATGATATATATATATATATATATACATATTTTTTTTTTTTTTGTAAATAAAAATGTTTTTCTTGATTTCACCACCTAAACAGACAGAAATATTCTGACACATTCATATGTAACTATTTTACTTTTGTTTGTTTCCTTGGTTTTTTGGGGATTAGAAATTATCTAGACATGAATATTGCTGAATTGAAACACGATAATGAAATGGCCTAAACAAACTAACAAAAATTGAAATGTTATATTTTCATAATTATGCTGATCAGGTTTATTTTTCATTCCATGATACTGCTCAATTTGAATTGTTTTTGTGTTTTATAAAAACACAGTATGGATTATTAAATTATCATATTAAGAAATTTTTGTCTTTTAAACGATTCGGAAAAAACATTTCACAGTTGTACAAGATAATAACAGTATATTCCTTAGATGCTTGATAAAAACACTGTTAATTGTGATATACTTAATTATTTGTTGGACTTGTTAGTGCTTAATACATTGTTCATGTAAATATGTTTTTGAATTTAAAGATAAGAAGAAAAAAGGCTGTGGACTATTCATTGCAAGTTACATCATAATTCAATAAACCCACATGTTTCAGGCGAAACCAGTAGTCGTATTGTAATACACTAATCATATCATCCTGAGCTTGTTGCGATTGACTCAATACATGTCCATTCTTAGTCCGTCCAATACACAGGGATTTGTACATATATATAAAGCTCTATTTGGGGAGAGTGACTTTTGTGACATATCCCTGTGGTCACATTTGCATTTCCCTTCATTTTTCTGTCGCCTTATAACATGTTCTTAAAAACCATTATTGTAAAATCAAATATTTTCGTGGGGCTCAAGTTTCTTGGTTTATCAAAATATCACTATTTTGTGAACATTCAATTTTGTGAATGAAACAGGGATGGTTTTCAGGGATATTCCCAGTTATCTTCCCTTGTCTTGGTCCGGAAGGATTTGAGTGTATCATAAATTAAATTCACATACAAGTCACCAAATATAGATATTAAGTAAGTGTTGTACAAGCTTCTACGAAGTGAACCGATCTCTTTATACCAGAGTTAAATGTTGTAAGTGTGGAAAGTACACCTAAATTAGCAATACATATTGAAGTTCATTTCATAATTTCATCCAGTTCTAGAAATGTACATTTTCATTCCTATATATTCCTCCCATTTTTTTTTTTTTTTTCCCCATCTTTAATACTATAGAACTCTTTATTTTACAATATACTGAAATGCTTTTTCAATCATGTTTTATTCTTTATATTTTTTATTGTTTTCAGGATGGAATAAATACACTATCTTATTTTTGCTTTTAAGTTATGGTAATTTATGGAAAGTTTGAAACATAGAAACAAAAAAACTGACTTTTCAGTAAAGATGTTCTTGTAAACTACCATACAACATACAGTGTGATTATTGTTGATGTATCACAGCATTACAGCAATTGAATTGAATGACACATTTTGACATTTTTTTTTAAAATCTAGAGTGAAATCTTTCTCCCTGTAACAATATTTTTACAATAGCTTCCTCAGCAAAGAAAATATCATACTTAGGTAATCTTTAGTAATATTTCATTTATTCATAAAATGCATTGTGAATTTCATATTCAGAATTCATCAACTGGCTTGACAATTTGTCATATATATTTAGTTTCATTTGAAGCAGTGATGTTTTTGCTTAATTTGTAGATGTGGAATTTCAACTGGTCTGAAAAAAGGGTAATTATTTTTCTGTGTTAGATGTGTAGTCATGCTGCCATTATTCTGTGTGAGAATGAGTTTTTCTCTCATCACATATCCACTTTGAGCGGAATGTTTTCATTAGTACATTTTTATGTTTTTGGGACTAAGATCTAGAAATCGACATTTGTAATGTAATTTTATTGCAAAAGCTCCAGTTCAATAATTATAATAGTACTGATATTATTTTCAACTTGACTGTACTAAGATTTTTTTGTCATTATTTTCTTTTTTGTTTATATAAAGATACTTAAGAGTAAAAAGAGAAAATATATGACAGATACCAATTTTTTTATTTATTCCTTTTGTTTTTAAGTCTGTGGTCATAGAATAGTCAACCCTCAATACCAAAGTTAAATATATTAGTAGATACACACATATTTATATTGTTTGTATGAATGAATATAAGTGGATTTTTTTTCTTCCTTTTTGATTTTCAATTCTTTTGAGTTAGAACATGGTTATAGTAAGACTAGGTACCAAACTTTGACATATATATATATATATATATATATATATATAAGTTTTCATTTCAAGAAACATCATATTGATAAGAAATGAAATTTGATGTTGTTTATATGAATGTTACAAGTACGTATATCATGTCTGGAGTGTACAGGCCTAATGGACCTCTTTATATAGTAATACTGGCTGTGAATGGCTTCTTTTATTCATCATAGTTTTATTAGATAAACATATGAAATATTCTCTTATGCCTAAATCAAAACATTCCTTTTCTTTAATGTACTTAGCTTTAAACTAATGTAAACTTTTCGTACATGTCCCAGACAGTTTAGTTCAAATGGTATTAGTGTTTACGATTTTGTATTTTATAAGGAGAGATTTTAATTTCATGCAATATTATTCTTTGTAGTTTTTTTTTTTTTTTTTAACGTATACTGACCAGGCTGTGATAAAGATTGTATATACTCTGTTAAATATCTGGATTTGCTTACTAGACGAGTCGGCTTTCTCTAGCAGCTATAGTGGAACAAATAAAACATCCATATACATGGAGATCATTGTGTTGTTGTTTATTACAATCACCTGTGTCTTTGGGATATACAAATGAGATCAGATTTCTACCTTTATTATAAATATATATTCTTTGTTTGCTAGGTTTCTTGTCCCAAATACAGCCAGGGTCATTTTGAGGTGGGGAGTCAGTTATAGAACATGGTCACTATTTCACTGAAGAACATATGAGAGACCCATGACATGCCTTTATAGTACAATTTGTAATTGCACAGCTTTCTTGTATAACATTTGTATGTATCTGATGGCAACCTTATTGAACATCATGCAGAAGGTCAAAATTACTATCAAATGCATTTTGGGTAAAGTCATCCAAGATTTGTGACCACAAAAATCTAGTTCCTGTACAACTCTGATCTTCACCGGAGTCTCCAAAGATTTAAATAGCTGCCATTTAAACCATTGTGGTTCTTTCTTTCTCCGACAACAAAAAATGTGTTTAAACTTCCTCATTCATCTCTTGTCCATAGTATTACTCAAATGTGTAGAAATCAGAATCTGTACCATCAGAAGGCAGAATTGTCTGCCTGAATGCAAAAAGAATAGCCATTACCAAATGCAAAATATACTTCTCAGAAACTTTCATTTTACATGGTCGTCCTGGCTGGGGGTCATCTGCCAAGCTAGAATTCCTTCACTCAGTGTTTGATGGTCACAGAAGAAACGGAAGATTCCCAAGAAACAGCAACAGGAAAAAAAATGTAAGACACATTTTGTTATCTCCCTTTAGCTTAGAATAACGTATTGGAATATATAGAATGTGCACTTAAATTTCTTAAATCAATGAATTTATTTTCTGGAGATATCTTAAAAGTGTTGAATCAGGCTGATAGAAAGTCACCTCATGCAAATTTGACTGAACCAGTTAAAATTGTTGTGAAATCATTATTTTAAAAACTAAGAAGACTGTTGAGGGTTATTAAAGTTGAACTAAAATTTTATACACTGAATTCAAAATTTAAACTGAACTTATTCTATTCTAATGGAGGGGGTTGGGGGCACAAAGTCAGGCAGGTGACCCCACACTTTTCACCCATAGGAGCAATTGATTAGGCATAAGGGATCAAAATTAAGTATGTATTGATAATAAACATGTCCTTAATAGATGACACAAGACATTAACTCCCAGATGGGGATACCTTTATTTCTGGTATTTCTTCTGTGGTAAACATCTTTGCCTGTATGCCGCAGATTTTAACTTCCACTACAGAAAGATCTTATATAGAACACTACAGAATCTTCTTTAAAACATCTACAGCGAAAAGAATATTAGGTATGGGGTGGCTTTCAGCAGAGACGTATATATGTCTCTGCTTTCAGTGACAGTTTGCAATTTTCAATCACGACATATATCTGTTACATGATGTATTTTAAAGTTGCATTCTTGACAGAAAATTATATAAAGTTGTCCTCTTTTCAAAACTATCGATTTTCTCTTAAAAATAAGAATAAGAAGACGACAATTATCAATATTTTATTGGGATATAGCTATCATGGTTTGTGTATATGATAAAAATAATTATCAACAGTTCACATTTGACCAGATGATCACATCAATTGGTCGGTCAATGGTCATCTGGTCAGTTATTTGACAATCAAAGCCGTGAGGCGATTCAACCAATTCATTCCGATTGTAGCCATCACGATTGTCGTGGAAGCCGGTCTAATTACACAGAGCTGGTCCATCCGAGAGTGGATCGGAACCATTCATATCGATGTACGGATACATCCGGGGTCTCTTTAACTGATTGTTGATTACCTACATCAACGTCGCCATTGGCTGTCGACACGTCGGATTGTTCCATGGTTCCCTGCACACTTTTCTCTGACCTTGCTAGTATATAACCTTTGGCGTGTTCATAAATCGGACCGTCTGATCCTAGCATCTGCCTAGAAATTAAAACAGCTGGGGATTCCGATTCGTCCGGTAGCTGGCCTGGTAGCTCGACCGCAGACCTTTGATGGCTGGTAGATGGCGCCAGGTTGCTGGAGAATACCGTAGACATGAGTCGCAGTGGCCTAGATTCCACTAATGTGTCGATTACCACTTCGTCGTCTGATTTAACGTCAGTCGAACGGGTGCCAGTCCAAACGGGCTCAACAAATAATGTTGGGTCAATCTCGTAGATAATGGGTCGTTTACTCGGTCTGAAGAAATAGTAACATCCCAACAAACACCTTCCCAACAGTGGAGCTGGGCACCCTTCTGTACCATCCAGACTGGCCACATCCGCAAGTTCCTACAAATAAGAATAATGGAAGGATTCCTTGTGTGCACACAAAGTAGTTTAAACTTTGTAATTTCTTTTCTCAAGTGTCCGAAATGCCTAATTCATTCCCGTTGATCATGATCCGATACAATATTTAACAATTTCTTTTATATGAGTAGACTCCTTTCAAAGTTACATGGCTCTGTCTTATTGTCAAAACGTGCAGGACTCGGAGCAATATTGTCTACAATGAAATATGTCTTTGTGAAGCAAAATTCAAAATACAAATGTATTTATTGGTGTCGTTTCATGTGTCTTTCCAGGTTAGGAGCCACCGACAAGAAAATTTACAACACAAGCGTTTATATTTGGTATTTTAAGTAAATTATTCATAATGATTGTGAAGACAACATACCTTTGGATCTATAGAAGAGGGGTCTACTACAATGTGGCGTCGCTGAGTCATGACGTGAATTCAATATAACCAGATCGTACAACTCCAAAAAAAAAAATTCTGAAATAGAGGAACTTCATTTAAATGCATGACTTTTCCCAAATACTCTAAAATCGTACGTGTTACGGTGAGACTAAAAAATTGTTGGTATTTTCTTTCATCTGAATTCCGCTTCGGCTATCAACGAAATAAACAGAACTTAAATATGCTCTCTCTCTCTCTCTCTCTCTCTCTCTCTCTCTCTCTCTCTCTCTCTCTCTCTCTCTCTCTCTCTCTCTCTCTCTCTCTCTCTCTCTCTCTCTCTCTCTCACACACACACACACACACACACACACACACATTTAAGGGGTACTTTTCAGTAGTTTAAATAAATCACCCTTAATCAGAAAAATGAAATACAGCTCACCAGTTTGTCCACCGCGTTGTGAGGGGAAATCACCGTAGTACAATGAATATGACGTCACCTAATTGTGACGTCATAATGTATTGACAACAAGCGGAATTATGGGTATTTCCTTATGATGCACAAATCGAACTATGCGTAAACCCATTGGGAAAATAAAAATTAAGTTAGAAAATATCGTGACAATACAATGACAATCAGCAAATTGGTGCGATCCCATTCAAAACTTGTCATATCAGAGGTTTAATTATTTTTTTAAAAATCCGTGAGTTGATAGGGGAAGGGGAGGGAGGGGGCGGCGTTTCAGATCCTGAAACCAATATATACCGGGCTTTTGCCATGGACCCGCTGGAAGCCTGGAACCCCACAATCCTTATTGTATATGTTAAGAATAAATCATTTTCTTTCGATAAAAACATGAAATTACAGAATGTTTCCTTCCAATCAGTCTCAAATTTTGTTTTCTATCAGTCAGCAAATTTAACATACACAACCAGGAACCAAGAGAAACCCACTTTTAAAATGTAAACAGCTATGACAACACAGCCATAACAACTTGTAATTATCAAAATCCAAGTTTGGTTTCTTACCTGTCTCTAATAGCATAACACAGCGAAGGTCACCAGCACTATCTGATAAATAGCACTGTATCACAAAGGTCCAATATTCCGATAATCACAATTCTCCACAAGTATTTATCATTTTTTAAATGATTGATAATTAATTACTAGGCTTAAAGAAAAAATGCAATTTATCTTTTACATCTATCAGGAATGTACTGATGTAGAAATACATAGATTAGTCAGAAAATTAAAGGGAGACTATGAAATTAACACACAAAGCCCCCTACAGAAAACAATATACAAAAACAAAATCGCAAATACTTACGATCAGAGTTTAATTGTTTCGTAACGTGAGACAATTATTTATCTTGATACATAGTTTCGTATCTGTTAATCCGACATTGGATGTATTTATTTGCACATTTAGAGAGACGTAACCAAGTATCCACACGATTCCGGCCTGCGTTTTTAAAGTCGCGTAGTTTGAGTCAACTTGAATAACTCTGGCTGTCGACGAGACATTAAACTCCGATCAATTCAAATTCACTTAAAGTTGTCGTGCATTCTTCAGGAAATCGTAAATGTCATCAAATACGATCGAAGCTTGGTCAAACTTGACCCTGACTAAACCCAATCTGAAGTATAATAGGATAACAATTTGGTCCTTTCTGGAAAAAAATACCGACAAGTAAACAGAACCTTAATTCACAAATAAACTCTATGAACTAATGTAAAATATGAAAAAAGACACATTTACCCTGAGACTTAAAAAAATAAATCCATTGAGAATCAGACGAAATACTTCGGAATGGGAAGACATTCTGACGGACCAAGTACGAGGGAAGACTTACTTAAAGAGCACGTCGTGTATCTATATCAGAAACAACATAACTGGGCCTAAAATGACCTGCTGTTTAATGGCCAATGGGTAGAAAATATAGTCACGGCTGCCGTTTTCTTAACGCCAATAAGGGAAAAGCGAAAGAACAACAATATCAAGATCGCCTGTAGCAAACGAAATTTTGTTTAAAATATGTTTGTCTAAAATTGTAATTCTCCTTACGATATGATATTGTCAGAGACTTATATATACGTCTCTGGATATTGTCCATCCGACCGAGTATGGAAACATACACGCATGTTTGTTTCCTAAATATTTAACTAGAATTTATTTATTTTTCTTTATCTATTTAGCCACATGTATTCAATAATCTTGAAATATTGATTAAGCATCTTCATATCAACATGCGTGAAAAAGGAAAGTGACAAAAGTGATAGGCTTACTTTCAGAGTTTGGACCCTCAATTTTATATTGAAGATGTGTCGGCCAGCTTAAAGAAAAAATCGATGGGGAAAGATAAGTTTTAGCAGAAAAAATATTTCGATTTCTGAAAAGGTTAAATTTATGTCTCTGACGCGCGCCGAACCGCGAGCATCAACCGATGTACCCCCTAGATTTGCCACCAGGTGGCACACGTGCTTAAGAATTAATCTTCAACACTGAAGAGTTCCAATGCAACAACGACGAAGAACACCGGTTTTGTGAAGATTGCATTATTTATTTGATCGGATCGTGAAACACTTCCTCGCCGAAGTTGTTTCTTTCTGAATGGTAGACATATTTACATGATATGATTGCATTTCCCAAGTATCTAATCGAAGCTTTGTTTCACATTCTGATATTTAGTTTTGGGAGTAAGGTCAAGGTTGGCAAAATTACTAAATCTTCCATTTCCGAAATATTTGCATTTTGGTAATTGCACCCGGGAGTTTGTGCTTGGATTTAGATTTGCATTTTAGGACATCTAACATGACGTATTTCAGATTTTATTTTGCGGAATGTATCATTTTGTAAGAACAGCAAATATATCTTCAGTCTGAGACCATATTTAGCATCCTGGAATAAAAAGAAGTGGAAAGTCGAAAGGAAACCCGTCGAAAGAGTCGATTTCTTCTTTGATCTGTTCAATATTTTCGTTAGGAGAACTGCTAACAACCAGTAGGCTTTATATCCATAAAATATTGCTGACATAGCTTGTATATAAATTATCCATATCGACAAATTTGTGGCATTCATATGATATTGCATTATTTGAACTCATTTTATGCTTCGGAGGAAATTTTGTAATATACCAGTTTACCTCAACATTTTGGTTGAAAAACTATTAATTGTTTTAGTTGCCTTGCCATTACAGGCATTACAAATAATGTTCATGATCATTTGCTTTATATATAGGTAGTTACTGTGTGTATTTCATTGCAACTTTGTGTGTTTTGGAGCTGATCAGTCACCAGAGGAGATATTCATATTTAATCTATGAACTGACACAGCTATTAAAGTGAGCTGGTTATGTTTATATCTTATAAAATCAGCTGTGATTAAGAAGTTAATTGTGGCCATTGTTTTCCTTAGATTTTTCTATTTAAGTGATTTTGTCAGGACAATATGTCAGTGTTCTTGTACTCTAAATGACCTCTGGATTACAATACATTGATATGAACATGAAAAGAACTAGAAGTAATTGCTTTTACATTAATTAAACCTATCATAATTATCATTTCAGGAGTGACTAGACAAATTATACATTGAGCGGAAGACAGAAATCTGGACGCTGAAATGGCAGCGTTTCGCAATAACTTGGACAATAATGTCAATACCATGGCAGGCATGGGACAGTAAGTATTTGTGTATCAGAAATCGGTGCTAACTGTATTTATGGTATAGAATGGTAGAGTAATTTTGAACTTAATGTACTCATTTATTAATAAGCCCATGCCGTTTGAAATTATTTATTGACCTGAAATAAGCCTCCCTTAAGTCAGCAGTAATGTTCAGGCTCTTGACATGGGCTTATTATAGGATCACTGCTGTATTTATCACTTGTTTTACTTGAAAACCAACACTTAAGTGTTTACGGTCACCAAAGTCGATATGTAAAACCTCCTGTAAATGTAATACAGGCAGGAAACACAAATGTAGGAAATCTATCTCTCAAAAACCAGCCTTAATCATACGTCATTTATGTTATCATCTGATTCAATTTGGTGAATATTGCAAACAGAACAAAGGTTAAAACTATCATACAAGCACAGATAAAACCCCCTCCACCCCACACACATTTTTCTTACTGTGATGAAATCTGCCAAGTAAACTGATTTTTTCATTGACTTTTGGTTAGGGCTTATGTAAATGACAGTGATATCGTAGCCATAAATAGAGAGTCAGTTTAGTTTAAACAATATTATTATTAAGTTAACACATACATATGACAGGTATATGGGGTGGGAAAACAAGCTTAGAGCTTATATTAAATCCTTTCTCAAATTTCTGTACTTAATAACACCTAGTTAAGGTTGGTTCTAAAGATGGAGGTAACACAGAGTATTCGTAATAAATAGTGTATTGCCATGGATGATATCATCACCAATGCTAACATGTAATAAGTAAATTATAAATTACAACTGTCTTTAAAATATCTGTTTTGTCCAGTTCTGTACATGACTGATCTTTACAAAAATAATGAAAAATTGTAACATATTTTGAAGCTAGAATTCAAGTCCAGACCTTGGGTCATTTCCAGAATGTTGATTACACATGATAATCATTATTTGTTGGGAGAAAGTTCAGAAGAAATTGAAAATTGGCCTTCTAATACTTATATGGATTTGTATCCCATTTCGACCACCACACTAGATAATTCAACACTTGATCAGTTACCTATACACACAGGGTAAATTTTACAGCTTTATGTTAATATGTATGGAAATGGGTCACTTTCACACTAAATAACACTACCAATTACACATACCAGTATATTAGTTTGTATTATAAAAAATGTATAACTGGTAACACAAATGTTATTTTGGGCTGTGGAACACTAGATACATAACTCCTTGATTGATTCTTCTTTTCCCCTCATCCGATGAATTTTTGGTTTTGGGAATTACATAAGTATTTTGCACAATATTGAAAACTATTGAATTGATGTGGTTAATTCTAACTTCGATCATTGAGTAGTTTGGGGAAAACTCCAGACACATTAAATTGATAAAAAAAAAAATCAATTTATTTTTCCCTGTTAGAATTATACAAAATCTTTTTTCCTTGACGATATAACTTTAGATGTATTAAAGATTGTTATCTGATGATAATATACACAAATACATGTATTCACATGTTTTCATTTAGCTGTACTTCGAGAATTTTCTTCAAGGATTTTTTCTAATGCAAAGCAAGTCATTTTGTAGAATTACAACATTAATATTGCATTTTCACCTGCTTCTCCATTTCTGGTGAATACATCACAGACTTTTGAAATCATGAACAACCGATAATTTATGTAAAAAAAATGGGGAGTTTCTGTCATAAATAGCAAAAACTTGTTAGTTACCTAGAATGTATATCATAAGAAATGTGATATAAAGTGAAGTTTTTTCAGCAAAAACAAAGAATTTTTCCCTCCACACACAACACCTGATGACTTGCATATTACCTGGGTATTTATATAACCAACAATTGCTATTCAATACAATGCCTAAGTGGATAGATGTAGACCAAAGTCACCGTTGGCTGTGGACAAATTAAAATGTTCACAATATACATTTATGAAAATGGAACTAGAATAGAACCTCTGTCATAATTTGTATTTCACCATTTTCATGGAAACTGTTACATTTTTGACAATACATTGTACACATTATGTATGATATTAAACAGTGTTTAAGATGTGATAATGAAGTCAAAATCACTATTTTGATGATATAAGGGATTTAGGAAGACATTTTTAACACTCAACTCTCTTGCTCCAGAAGGTTTATGACAGATCAGTTTTCCTGGAACTCCCAGTAAGTAGACACATCTTTAATCTCCTATAATTCATTTGCTGCAGCTTCCCGGCTTTCTGTGGCTGCATGACAACATTTTTGCATGCAGTGATATCCTCGTTGCTTAATCGTAAAATCCAATCGTAAATATTATGTCAGACGAAATTTCCTTGTGTTTGCAAACTTTCCCTGCAAACCTTTGAACAAAAATTTCACCTGCAGCTGTGATGTGGTACAGGAACACTGCAGTAAATAGTTTCCTATAGCGGTTTATAAATCATGTGGTACTTGCTCTGAATTAGATTTAAATTTTCCAACAAAATTGCGTTAATCTCATGTTCTATCAAATTACCATTCACATACCAATACAAATGATCAATGCATATACCAATCACTACAGAAACTTAACTTTGAGATTGTCTGATCTATAAAGTTATGAATATATTTTCTTAATTTACAAAAAATTGTGGACTTTTCTGATACATCAGTTGATATGCCTCTATCATCATTACTGAAAGTTGCGTTTATATATAACATGTACAAAGCTCATGTGTTGATATTATGGATCGGTACATTATACACAGAGTCTCGTTACACCTGCACATACGGTATCATTTAAAACACAGCATCACTGTCTGCCAAGGTCTTTGTTAGCAGGCCTTTTCCTGGTCAGAAACTCTTACTTAATATACATTGAAATGAGATAAATCACAACTGAAAAGAAAAATAAACTTGCTTCAGGAATGCTTTTCAGCATCATACAAAACATTGTTTTGACGTTATGTGTTCTGATTTTTCAGACACAAACTTGAACATGGATCCTATATTGGTTGTGACCATTTAGATTCTACTCATCTTGTTGATGTTGATAAATATTTGACCTAATTCTTACCGCGGATTTGTTTTAGGATTAATGATAAAATTAAGATTGTTTTTCTTGTTCACAAAATTCTGAATAATCATTGTTTCTATGTAACTTAAAATTGGAACAAAAGTTTTTCTTCTTTTGTTGTTTTTATGTTTCGCGAGACTCATTTAAAAAGCCTTTGTGGTATCATGATTTCAGATCGTCAAACATTTGTATGCTAAGTTCTTTTCTATATCCTGTTGTTATTAAAGAAAGGTGGATAAAACAGACTTTGTGTAAACTAATTCATACCTTTTATGAATTTATGATCTGCCATTCTGGTCAAAATAATCTATTACAGATTATCTATGTCTTCTTTTTTAGACATCTTGGGTTGTGTTCAGTTTAACTGTTGCAGGTCTGAATTTTTAACTTGCATAGTGTTAATACTGGTACAGTTACCGAATATATGATATATACTTGTATTGGCACCAAGAACTTCCCCTTGTTCCAGCATTTACTCAAACTCCCAAAGCTTCATGTGCCCCTCATGTTGATGCAATAAATTTTACAATTGAATATGTGATGTTTGACTGCTAATTTGTCGTAATTTAATAACCAACCGTTTATACCGTAAACATGATTATTCAAAACATAATAAGACAAATTACATTTTACTGAGTGATTCATAAAGTCCATACATCCTTTTTTGGTCTCAACATTTTCGGCTCATTACAGAATTTTTTTTTGATTTTGATATTTTTGAAGAGGCACATGGTAAGAAATAATTCCTCTTGGGTTTATTGGTATTTCTTGTACATCAGTGATACTTTTTTCAGTGGAAATATACTTATGGGGATGATTGATCTTTGCTTTAAAGTGCTTCTTTGAACATTGTCTTCTACTTACTTAATATTTTATTAACTCTTAATTAGCACAATTTGAAAAAGGGACGCTAATGCATGTGTTTGTTAAGACTATACACTAAATAGTAATTTCTAAATTGGTAGAGAAATATGTGCAGCCATTTGTATTGTGTATTGTAATATATGAAATACATCAATTCATTATGTATTGTGATATATGTAGTGATAATTATATATTACGACATATAATTATTATTTTATTGAGAAATTGATATTCTTTCATGTTTTTGAATAATGAAATTTGAATTCAGTGTGATAATAAAAGGTTTAACATTATAAAAAACATTCAAAATTCATGTTCATAGGGGAAAAAAAATATCAGGATTTTTTATTTAATTTAGATGACAGAGTTTTCAATCATCTGCATCCGTTAATCTGTGAAATCCGAAATTTTTCAATTCTGTGTTTGGGAGCTCAATTTATAAATTCAGAGAGGAAAAGAAATGAACTCTATTAGATGCACGGGTATAATACTGCTGTTTCATGATACTAAACAGTTTTGTTTAAAGTTTGGATTAGTTATCAGTTTTTGCCTTGTTCGTTTCATTTGGTTTTTTGTTGGCATTTTGGGGTTAAAAATTCTTTACTTTGATTGAACCTGATTTTAGAAACTAATGATATTTCAGTGAAAAATGACTGTACATGCATATGATCAGACACTGTTAACAGTATATTTGATAGTGTTTGTTAACAGCTATGTCCAATCATATTACAAAGTGTTTTTCTGAAATGCTACTTGTATATTGACATCTGGTTGAAATGATCTGTCCTGAATTTAGATCTGTATATGTGAAGTCTAGTCTTTGATCGCTTTATCAAAGCATGTAAAGTTAATACAGTATGATGGTGTTGATAAAATTAGAGCTGAAGTTTACATTATTTCCCTATGACAATTAACCAACCTGTTGTTGCTCAGTAAAGTCATTAGCTGATGCTGTGTAATTGTAATTCTGTGATAAGCCCACCCCCTGAATTTGAGAAAGATGTAATGTTAAAATGTGTTAGCCAAAGGTCTTATTACAGAAAAGATTTCAGGAAATAATAAGTACTACACAGCCTTGAAATTTAGGCAAAATACAAAAAATTTGACAGTTTTTATATTGAAAGATTTTAGGACATAAACAGAGAGATGACAGTGGTTTTCCATACAAATAAACTTGTGTAATTATATTTAAATTTTACAGTAGTTGTGTAAATGATATTAACTACAGGTATGGTTTGATATCAACAGGTATGGTTTGAATAATCTTGGAAGGAAAACAACAGGTGAATTATCACCAGGGGCCAGAAAAAATCTAAATATGTCAGGGATGTCGTCGCAGCCACCGCAACCCAACCAGCCACCTCACCCATCACAGCCCTCCAAACCCAGGAAGGTAATCAATACCAGAAAACAAGATTGAACATAGATATGTGATAATTTTTGGTAAAGTCCCTCTACTTCAGGAAGCCAATTTTTTAAAGAACAGAAACCATGGTAAATTTTAAATTAATGAATCAAGGAAGGCAGTTGAGAAATTTGGCTAACTAAAGTTATGAAAAGAACTGGTAAACTGCAAATCTTTATTAGGTTTAAGTTTGCATTGTTTGTACATTAGGATTCTCTTGTGATTATGTATTTCAGGGTTTGTTTGGGGAGGATGACGACAGTGAGACAAGTATGTATTTCCCACAGTCCTCCAGTCTACAATCTTCAGTATTTCGACCCGATAGAGATGTAAGTACAAAGTATTGATTTTATGATGTTTGATCCATTAGAATATAAATAGAATTGTTATTTGTTTTGTAATAAACAACTGAGCATATGTTACAAAACTTAACAAAATCTGTTGACCAATCATATCCTTGTAATGATTTTGGAATAGAATAATGAGCGATGCCAAATAAGGACAACACAATAATTGAGACTATGACCACATTCCAGTGAACAACTACATATTGATAAAGATATTCACCATCAATATATTGAAATCCCTGGTGGAAATGGCTTAATCTTTCTTTCTTTACTTCATTTCTCTACATTTTTTTTTTGTACCTTCCAGGTTATGAATTCTCAGTCACCTTCACAACTTTCGGGTGGATTTGGCAATAACTTTTACAATCAAGGAGGTATTTCATTTCATGTTATCAGCAAAGATTATCACAAAATCTGTAACTGGAGCAGACATCCAACATAAAGTTGTGTTTTGATAGCAAGAAAAAAGATAAGAGAACAATTTAGTTTTGTAACATGTTTGTCCTTTCACCTTTTATTAAGATTTGGAGTATATATGCAAACAAAATATTTTGATTTTTCAAAAAGAATTCAACATTTCAGACATGAACATTGCTTTTTTAGTATTGGCATTAGGATTTAAGAAATTCCTGGAAAGGGGATGAAAAGATTTTTTTACTGTATTTCAATGTTTGTCTTCTGTCCTCAGGTCTGAACAACTATGCGCTACAACCACGAGGCCCTGTGTCTGGTGTGACAGGGCCACAGTTTCGAGGCACGAGTCAGGGACATGTCACTCCCACCAGTATGAATCCAAACTTTCCGATGAATCTGCAACAGCCTCCACAGCAACCTTCACCAAACAGGTATGGAAAGATCATTTGAATGAGTCTTTATAGTAACAAAAGGTGTGACGTTTCTGTGGTGCATATATTCTGTATCTCAGAAGATGTGAAAACTGACACAACCAAACTTAAGCACGACCAACTATTCAAGATAAAATTCTTACAGGGATCGACCGTAAAACCATCCAGTCGATAAGCCGTCCATGTGTGGCAATTTTAGATTATTTTCACTGAAATGTACAAAGGATGCAAAAATATGTATACATACATGCAATAATGAAGTACTCAGTGGTAGGTAGTAGGAGAATTAACCATTACAAAATTTAGCTAGTGTAATGTAACAATGTCTATAGGAATTGGACATTCTGTAAGTGAAATATAGCTATCATAATGTACTAAAAATAGCAGGATTGATAGATAGGAAATTCTTATATATAATTCCAGCTAGAATGTCCGATATTCCACATTGAACATCAGGCCCTGTGTTATACTTCTGATGTTGACATGGCATAGGCTTATGATCAGTTGGCAAAATAAAAACCCCTTAACCAATCGTCTTCATCCTGGGTGGTAATTTGGTCCATATTTTTGCTAAAATTTTCATAAATTTACATTTAGCTGCCCTTGCCAGCTTTCCAGTAGATCATGGTACTATCATAACTAAGAATTGGTTTTGATTGTCATTTTGTGTATATGCTGTGTGTTGTAATCTAGTTTAAATTAATTATTTTTCTGATTTCCTCCAGGAATGTTATATCTGCCATCGGGGGACAAAGAAGTGTCATGAATCAAAACCAGGGCAATCAGTCATTATCAAATCTTCAGAAACGAGCCCTTGGACAGTCCGGTCTCCCAAAGTAAGTCAGACAGAAACAAATCCTAGAGAAATCTGATCATTTAAATAGCTAAGTTATATAGACACAAGCCCAGGGACAGTCGGATCTCCCACATTAAGCAAATTGTACAGAAATGAGCCCAGAGACAGTGTGGTCTCTCAAATTAAGTAAGTTGTACAGAAATGAGCCCAGAGACAGTGTGGTCTCTCAAATTAAGTAAGTTGAAAAGAAATGAGCCCAGAGACAGTGTGGTCTCTCAAATTAAGTAAGTTGAAAAGAAATGAGCCCAGAGACAGTGTGGTGTCCCACAGGAAGTCAGTTATACAGAAACAAGCCCGTGACAGTCTGATCTCCCTAAGGCAGTCAGATATACAGAAATGAGCCAAGGGACAGTTGAGTATCCCCAAGTTAGTCGGTTATACAGAAACCAGTCCTGGAACACTCTGATCTCCCTAGGGCAGTCAGATATACAGAAATGAGCCAAGGGACAGTTGAGTCTCCCCAAGTTAGTCAGTTATACAGAAACCAGGCCTGAGACAGTCTGATCTCCTAAAGTAAGATTGTTATACAGAAACGAGCCTTGGAACAATCTTGTCTCCAGAACTAAGTCAGTTATACAGAAACGAGCCCTGGGACAGTTTGGTCTCCTTAAGTCAGTTATACAGAAACGAGCCCTGGGACAGTTTGGTCTCCTTAAGTCAGTTATACAGAAACGAGCCCTGGGACAGTTTGGTCTCCTTAAGTCAGTTATACAGAAACGAGCCCTGGGACAGTTTGGTCTCCTTAAGTCAGTTATACAGAAACGAGCCCTGGGACAGTTTGGTCTCCTTAAGTCAGTTATACAGAAACGAGCCTTGGAACAATCTTGTCTCCAGAAGTAAGTCAGTGATACAGAAACGAGCCTTAGAACAATCTTGTCTCCAGAAGTAAGTCAGTTATACAGAAACGAGCCTTGGAACAATCTTGTCTCCAGAAGTAAGTCAGTTATACAGAAACGAGCCTTGGAACAATCTTGTCTCCAGAAGTAAGTCAGTTATACAGAAACGAGCCTTGGAACAATCTTGTCTCCAGAACTAAGTCAGTTATACAGAAACGAGCCCTGCAACAATCTTGTCTCCAGAAGTAAGTCAGTTATACAGAAACAAGCCCGTGACAGTCTGATCTCCCTAAGGCAGTCAGATATACAGAAATGAGCCAAGGGACAGTTGAGTCTCCCAAGTTAGTCAGTTATACAGAAAAGAGCTCTGCAACAATCTTGTCTCCAGAAGTAAGTCAGTGATACAGAAACGAGCCCTGCAACAATCTTGTCTCCAGAAGTAAGTCAGTGATACAGAAACGAGCCTTAGAACAATCTTGTCTCCAGAACTAAGTCAGTTATACAGAAACGAGCCCTGGGACAGTTTGGTCTCCTTAAGTCAGTTATACAGAAACGAGCCCTGCAACAATCTTGTCTCCAGAAGTAAGTCAGTGATACAGAAACGAGCCTTAGAACAATCTTGTCTCCAGAAGTAAGTCAGTTATACAGAAACGAGCCTTGGAACAATCTTGTCTCCAGAAGTAAGTCAGTTATACAGAAACAAGCCCGTGACAGTCTGATCTCCCTAAGGCAGTCAGATATACAGAAATGAGCCAAGGGACAGTTGAGTCTCCCCAAGTTAGTCAGTTATACAGAAACGAGCTCTGCAACAATCTTGTCTCCAGAAGTAAGTCAGTGATACAGAAACGAGCCCTGCAACAATCTTGTCTCCAGAAGTAAGTCAGTGATACAGAAACGAGCCTTAGAACAATCTTGTCTCCAGAACTAAGTCAGTTATACAGAAACGAGCCCTGGGACAGTTTGGTCTCCTTAAGTCAGTTATACAGAAACGAGCCCTGCAACAATCTTGTCTCCAGAAGTAAGTCAGTGATACAGAAACGAGCCTTAGAACAATCTTGTCTCCAGAAGTAAGTCAGTTATACAGAAACGAGCCTTGGAACAATCTTGTCTCCAGAAGTAAGTCAGTTATACAGAAACGAGCCTTGGAACAATCTTGTCTCCAGAAGTAAGTCAGTTATACAGAAACGAGCCTTGGAACAATCTTGTCTCCAGAAGTAAGTCAGTGATACAGAAACGAGCCCTGGAACAGTTTGGTCTCCTTAAGTCAGTTATACAGAAACGAGCCCTGCAACAATCTTGTCTCCAGAAGTAAGTCAGTTACCGTAAAAACCCATGTAATGTCCGCACTTTTTTTCACCGAAAATCAATCCAAAAAAGGGGGTGCGGACATTACAGAGATATAGAGGAAATGACACTTTTTTCCTTCCGACAATTCATATCATATCTCCTTGAATTGTGTTCTTAAAAGCCAAGCATACCTGATATTATCGTTCTATGGTTTTTTCTATGATGTTTCCTCAACCAAACATGATTATTTATGATTATTTATTATAGTTTCCATGGTTAATTCCTTCCAATTTCTCGTTACAGGTTCGTATTGTGTCGTCCTTCGTAATAGGAAGCCATTTTGTTTGACTTTGTCACATGAATAAAGTTAGAGTTATTCCCCTTTCCCCATTGAAAAAGCATACCCATGAGCATATACAAAATAACACAACATTTTCATTCTACATTTTATTTACAAAATAACAATAAATAACATGTACAAGAATATTACATAAAATAAATAATCAGACGTTTTATTGATTATGGATCGTTTATCAGAAAGTCTTAATACATAGCAGGCCGGTTTAATAGCGTTTCTCGAAACCCCAGAAGTCGTCGTCGTCACTGTGGAAGAACTCCTCGGCGTTGAAGTTGTCTTCCTCTGTCTGGTCGTTGTAATAAATGGCGTTCTCGTCGTCTGATGGTGTGTCAGTAGGGTCAGTGGCGCCGTGGGTCATGGGCGGGTCATGTTACTGTATAGTTATCGTTAATTGGCTAATCACACGCTGTCACTCACTCACACTCGAGGTGAGGAGACGACCCAAGCTGTTTATAACACTGCTGGGCTAACCCTTATCAAAACACCAATTATCGAAATGAGGACTTGTCATACTGGTAAGCTTACTGTACCATTATGGAGAATAACTGTTGTTATAAACAATTAAGTGAATTCTTGAATGGTACCTGTAAGTTATACACAATGCGACATGCTCTCGGCCATTACGACATTAGCGTACGTGAAATGAAATCGGCAGCTTCAATTTGCATTTTTTACCCGCGGACATTACATGGAAGGTGGGTTTTTTCCCCAGATTTTTGTGTCAAAAAAGGGTGCGGACATTACACAGATGCGGACATTACGTGGGTTTTTACGAATGATTTAGAGTAGCATAAAATTTTGACGGAAACAGCCGGGGTGCTCTGTGCTGCTGGACCCTGAAAGAAGACGGCGACTGAAAGAAGATGGCGGGTAATTCATGTAGGTAAGTATCACTATATATATATATATATATATATGTTAGCTGAATTTGAAGTCAATACTTATACTGAACTATCAATTGCATTTTTTGCAACAATTCATTTGGAATGAGCCTTCGCATCTATTGAATTTAGGCTTGACGGTGACGCGCAAGCTGGGCACTGCCGCCATAGCACTTTTTTTTCAAAATATTTTCAAGACTTTTCCCTTGAAGCAGTATGCATTTGAAAAATGTTATGTAAGCATCTAGCACATTTTTGTTGCTTCGGTAAAGTATTTCAGTATTTTGAAATGGATTTATTTTGGAATGATCGTTTCATAATGGTCTCATCGCAGTCACTTCTGTCAGTGGCCCAACAGATCGGAAATTAACCAGAAAAAAAACTTATCCGTAATATTGTACTGTACTACTTACGCTACCGTGAATAGATCTAGGAATCTATCTGGGTAATATATCGATTTTACTTTAAAATATCTGTCACTGTCCGCGCTATTGTAGGTCTAGCTCTTTCAAATTTCTGATCGGAGATAATTTATAAGTACCCCAACGGCCAAAGGCCAGAGTATGAAATCGTACGGGAACTCTACAGCTATGCTAATTTTAAGGTTTACATGTGAAGTTAATATATATAGTTTTAGCTTAATTTTAGTTTTTGTCTTTCTGACATGATGTCTCGTTGATTCTGTTGAAGAGTGATGCATGTGAACGGTTACAATATGAAGATTAGGAATGATGAAGATGTAGATTATCATCTGATTCCCGGAAAGTATTTTAATAAAGATTAGGATAAACCTAGCAAAGTGTTAGGTCCCAGTGTGAATGTGTAAAGTTCCAGTGTGAATGTGTAAAGTCCCAGTGTGAATGTGTAAAGTATTATTGGTACAATTGAACTTTTTGATATATGTACTGTATTTGTTCATCTCAGAAATTTCAGTATTATGTCAACTGCGTCCACTTTCAGTTCAACACTTTTGATTCATCAATTTTACCCAGCCCTAGGCTCAATATTTGTCATTAATTGTCGACTGTTTTTTAGAGTTTTGTTTTCATGGTGAATGGAATGAAATGAGATAAATAGTCTAACCAATACCCCTCGAGAGCTAATTAAGACATTGCAGTATTATCATTTTGGGCCTTATTAAAAGTCAAATTGCAACTTTTAAGAAACTCAAGTGACTGTAAGTACAACAATAAGATGTCAATAATCAATGAAATTGATTGAGAAGACATTTTCTTAGTACAGTTAACCAGGCTTTGTAGTGGTTTGTTCAGAACTGTAGTTCTGGTTAAGTAACCATTAATTGTGTCTTTTCAGTTACAATGACATACATTTTTGAAATACCTCTACTGTAGCTAAATGTGGCATTTGTAATAGACAGCCAAAGTTAATTTTGTGATAGACGTAGCCAAAGTTAATTTTAGGATCAGTTAGGACAGCTACTGTTTGTAACAGGCATGGGTTCAATTACATAATGATGTAATTAATTAAATTACAATTACATTATGAAAATGGCATTGCCATTACAGGTATTTTCAAATTAATTAAATTACCATTACATGACGGTCCAGTGTAATTAATTAAATTACACATTACTTTTCAAGTCAAAATGATTTTTGAAATACAAACGTCAAAATAAATTATCATACTGATCAGATTTATCACACAAATTTAACTTTATGATTCAATCTCTGTATGACCATGGTCAAGATATTGTTTTGCTAACTGTCCATCGCTTAATAATTTGACAGTCCTGAACGTCAAAGTAATTAATTACAGTATATTTAATATAGACTCCTATTGGGAAGTTCAAGACTATAAGCTTATACAGAAGTGTATATTTCTTGCACATAATCATAGCAATAATGAAATATAGTTATTTATTTCCCTTACTCTCTTTCAGCAAGTGGATGTCCCTGAAGAAATGAAATCTGGAATGGTAGAAGGTATCTCTATTGATTCTTCTAACTTGGAATTGGCCATTGTGACCAACAATGGATTTGAGGACCTTATGGTGGAGAAAAACGTCCTTCTTTCCGGCCTCCATTTAGATGTTGAAGATGATTAATCACTTGAGGAGATGCTAACAACCATGTTGCCTTTTAATGTCACAGTACTCTCTAAAGGCGGCAATATATTTACCATCACAAAAGAAGAATCAACAAATCGCGGAAACTAAAAAAATGTGGAACAGATCATTGTATACTGCATTTGTAGTAAATTTGTATACAATCTTCAATTTATTTGAGTAGAAAGATTCACTAGTTATACCAAGTTTGTGTAGAAAGGATCACTGTATACTGAGTTTGTAGTGTACATAGAAAGGTTTACTTATTTATTTTTTTCTAAGTTCAGTGTATACAATATATAAAAAAAAACTTTTTGTAGAAAAGATCACCGCATACTGAGTTTGTTGTTTACAAATGTGTAGAAAAGATCGCTGTATACCGAGTTTATAGTTTACAATTGTCTAGAAAAATCACTGTATACTGAACATAATATGACTTCTGTTTAAAACCTTCATTTAAACTTAGGCATGTATTTTTTTATGTATCTGAAAAGTCTACCTACAACAATTTTGTGTATGCAATCTTGTACTAGGATATTGACATGACAAGATTACATTGCTGATCAAAGTATGGAAAGAATACTGTATCTAAAAACTGAATAAAACAAGATATAAGCATCTGTATCATGTTTTTTTTTTTATTATTATTATTTTTCCATGATGTCTGTCCACATGGAATCTGTAAGCACTCTTTTGCATTCTTATACCACCAAAAGGGTGGGTAAACTGGAATCAGGTTGTCTATCCGTCCATCCATCTGTTTGTCTGTCTGTAGACAGATCTTGTCTGGACAACTCCAATGAAACGTTTCAGTAATGTTCAGGACAATGTGTAGATGTGCATGCACCATTTTCCCTTGAAATATTGATTGCTATGGCAATTGGTCAATATAGACGGGTTTTGCTTGTCGGTCAACTTCTAAACCTGTGGACCAATTTTAACAAAACTTTGCAGGAATGTTAGGGAACATGTGCACATGCCGCTGTGTTTCAGAGGATGTTTCTGTGCAAAAGGTCACCATGGGGAGATAACTAAGGCTGTGGGTGATGGGGGTATTGGTTATCATTTGGGTTACAGTTTCAGTTATCCCTGGGCAATGTGGAGAGGATATAGTAATGATTTTGAGGATTGACTGTAGAGGTCACAGTACTTGCATCAGTACTATATGATTACCTTGTAAACGCATTGAGACTAAGACAGTATACCTTAATCAAATTTGGAACATGTATCCCTTATGAGGAGAAGTCGGTTTCTTTAGAAATTCAAGGTCAGATGTCAAAGATCAAGGTCAAAGTCAAAAAACAGATAGATGCATGGGGGTGTTCTCCTTTGCATTACCCTCATTTTTCTATCAAATTTCACAGCCTAAAAGATATTCACACCTTGCAAATTTCAAGGTTCAAGGTCACTGTAAGGATGTTAAAAAAATGATAATACAAGAGGAATAAAATATCTTGCGACAAGTTTTAGAGAACAAAGAATATATAAACATGAAAAATTGGAACGAAGTCAATATCTACTCGAAGATTCCCTGAAAAAGTACAAGGAGAATAAGACCAGGTGTTCCGGAAGAATAGGCATCTTCTATTTTAAGTTACGTTGACATATGATGTTTGTTTTAGAAAACTGGCACTCTTTTGCAGTCATTTACAAACAATCTGGAAAATGAAGCTGCCCAATATTTGTATGTAGCATGTTATTTGCATGATGGTCTAACTAAT